CTTATAAGGTTCATTATGCAATTTATACAATCCTGATTCAGCCTATATTTCTTTCATACTGTGCTCATACATGGCTAAAAAAAGGTTGCGAATGACTGGTTTAGAGGCAGCTCTACAAACACATATCAACAAACCATCTCTGGACCAAGTATGCCCATGGCTGTAATATTGACCTAGAGTGTGGAGTTCATACAGTCTCTATGAAATCCTATCAAAATATTACTCTTTGGCTATCATATGGAACGGCTTGTTTCTCATAAAAAGTTAGCCGAAACAGTGACTGCATCCTTTGCTTCATATTTCAGGTTCTGTAAGAACTAGGGACTGGCTTCTCTTTTTTTAAATCAATGAAAGCTCTGAATGTGGGCTAAATGAAGCTGGGTGACATGTCTAAAATCCAGGTAAAAACTGGCCTGTGTAACATGTCAACCCTATCCACGGTTAAGTAAGATTTCATTCACTGTTCACCAGCAGTAACCATAGACACAACAGGTAGCTGAAGAGTAACATATGGAATAACTTTTAAACCGTTTTTCAGAACCTCATTGAACCAATTAAAAACTGTGTTTCCCAAATGATCTTGAACAAAATATACACCAGTAGTATAATTAACAAAATCTGAAAGAGCCATATAATATGCCTATTTAAAAATTGGAGTGAGAAGATGTGTTGAATTTTGCTCTTTTTCACTTATCATTTAACTGAAGCCATTTTAATTGAATTGATTTTATGTTTGGCACAATTCTAGAGATCATTAAGTCGATTATGGATGTGAAGTATCAAGTTGTAAGATTAGCAGACATCATTTTTATTAGCAATGTAATATTGAAATTTACAGTTGCTGAACTTGGGTAGGGGGCTCACCTTAGCTTCGTTAACTCTCGTGCTCCTTCAGTTAACAATAATAAGCAGGCCTTATTTCAATCAGGGCTCGTCAGCCATGGAAGGCAGCCCATCTAGGAGAAGGAAAACTCTGATTTCAAAGCTCCACTGCCTTGTGGCTATATCCACTCATGGAAAAGGCTTCAGGAGTTAACCTAGAGGCAAAATCCGGAGCTGGAGTCCCAAAGGCAGTTTGTGTTGTTCTGCCAACTCCTGAGACATCGCTGGAACCAGTTGTATTGGCTCTTGCCTTTCCATTGGACCATTTCAGCAACGTAGAGAGGGGGGATCTGCTGCTTGGGTAACAGCTTATCCTCCATATTACTTTACCCAGGCTTCATGCTCTGCAGAGGACACTCATCGATTCAGAGCATGTTACCATAGTCTCTCGAGATTGAAGGATGCCTATATATTTCAATCTAGTGGTGATATTACAGGAATAGAACTGTTTATTTCCAGACTAGCCATGTTTGTCTGTTGCAGCAAAAACAACCACAAGTCTTGTGGCACCTGAAAGATTCATATGTTCTATTTGACATAAATACATGTTGATTGCAGTCCACTTCATCTGAGCCATCTGTGCCCGCTTCCTCAGCTGCAGTCTGCAAAAGATTGAGCCAAATAAAACTCGTTTGTTTTTTGACATTTTCAACAAGACAGTTACTGCACTGGACAATTGGCCTTAGTTTGCTGAGTTAATGTCATCCATAACCTTGAGATTTATAAATAAAGCAAAAGAAGGTTTGCCTAAGGATGGAGATGCTTCTCAGGAATAGCTGGATTTCATTTGAAAAAAAAAAGAAACATTAACCTTTCTTTTATTTTATTTTCACCCCTTCCCTCTCAGGAAATCCTCAGAAACCATCTAGAAACCTGATAAACACTAATTTGAATGAATGTCTGCAGCCTTCTTCTGTTTCCCATACTATAAATGTAAGCAGATGCAGACTGCATGACATCATAGTTTATTTGCCTGTTTGCCTGATAAAAGAGTCCAGGATAACTCAAAATCTTGCACAGTATTTTTGCATTCTTTGAGTTTTCTGACAAGGTATTGCCCTAATACAAATTTTGATTCTCTTCCTCTTTTTGGCCAACACAGTTTCTTTAGCTTTTTAATCTCTGTGTACGTGCCTGGACAGTGTTGATTCATATGTTGAGGAGCAGGACTGAAATAGGGCTGAGTTAGATATTATTATAATTTGTTACATTTATATCACTTTTCTTCCAGTGAGCTCAAACTGGTACCCTACTTTATCTTCACAGCAACCCTGTGAATTAAGTCAGGATGAGAATATATGAGTGGGCCAAGATCACCCAATGAGTTTCATGATCTAGTGGGGATTTGAACCAAAGTCTCCTCTTAGTTCAGCACTCTAACCACCACACCATATTGCCACTGATCAATGGCATGACATAATTACAAGAAGGTGTATGTCTTTTTTTTCCTTTTAAAATAAACAGCAGTTTTGAAAGGAAGTCTGAAATTGTTTGGGATCCATATCAAAGGTGTGAGGATTTAATCCTGTGCTTCTCTGCCATAGTCCAGATTTGGGAAACTGAGCATTTGATATTTGTATTGGGAGGAAAATTCCCATTCAGACATCCATTAAAATGATACTTCTGTGCCCAGCCTGCCACATCTGGATTAGGTCTCCAATGATGTCATGACAAAGGCTCCCTGACACAATATCCAGGTATTCCGAAAAGGAGTGTTTGATAGAGACCACCCCGTTCCAGAGGAGTGTGTGGCTGTGGAAGCACCCTCTAGATGTCCCTATCACCTCACAGCCCCTGGTGCCAGAAAAATCCTTCAGATGAGTATCCCTGCTTCTTCAATTGGCCATGTTATCATCCCCAGATTCTAAGGAATGCAGATGTGGTAACATCTCCAAACCCTTGTTGCTTCAATGCTGTTGCAACACAAGATGCTGAAACAAAATATGACCTCTTTCAGGGAGAACGTCTCATACAGAGTGTGGGCAGAAATACTGTAGCAACACAGGAGAACCTTAAATCATACTTAAGGTTCAGTCTGATTCTGTTGGCTGTTGAAACAGTATAGTTATCTGTCTTTCAGTTCAATCCAGACAAATTTCAAGCACTGTGGTGAGAACCAGAGATTGCTTTAGGCTTTACCGCTATCCGGCTTCAGCTTTGCCAAACCTTTGCTCTGGGCTCTCCTTTGTACTGACCACATCAGAGATCACCCCTTGCTGTATCTTGCCCGCTAAAGCTGAGCCTTTGATTGTACTGCCTCTTGGCAGGCAGTACAAACCTTGACTTGACTGGACCCATTGCAGAATCTGTGCACAACAAAAACCTTAATGCAGTTAAATCCTGTATTCAGCAGAAATCTTAACCTAAAATGGTAGAAAGAGGTTAAACTCTATTTTGAATCAGGGTCCCTTGCCTTATAATCTTAAAATAAAATCATGCAGTTGTTCATGGTGTGAATACTCTCATGCCTAATTGTGCCTCTAGAGTGTGAAGGAACAGTGAAAGCCCTCCTTTCCCCTGTTCATACAGCTTCCAATGTGAATTAAATAGTTGTCAGTGTTTTTTATAATGGAACACAAAGTGTCTCATTTCATGTTATCCTTCTGCTTAGAGCTTCTCATTATTTTTCTGTTCTGTAACTTTTCACATGCAATTGTGAATAATATTAGAGAATAAAAACAAGTACATTAATGTTGATTTTATACTTCAGACATTGCACTGAAAGAACAAAAGCATTGTTTGGCTAACTTTTCACTGAAATATTTTATTTTTTGGTCATGAATTTTCAGTGTTTACATCTTCTTTCAGCATCACTCCACCCTGTGCGTGTGGTGCTGGTGTGTCTGTTTCCTGCACCCACATAGATGTCACTGCAACAGTTGCCAAGAAGCAAAATTAATGTTTCCATTGACCTTTCATGTGCATTTCAGGCACAGTTACAGTATACAGAAACCTGGCAATCCATTGCGTAAATTCATTATCTAGCATTTTGGAGTGGCCTACGGTCAGAGGAGTGGTGTGTCCCTTCTCAAAATTTGGGAGTGAGATGTCCTACTGCTTGGACCACAGCTATCTATGCTAACATATAAGTAACTTGTGTGTGTGTGCTTGTAAGACAGGAAGGCCTTGTGATATCTTAGTTCTTGCAGGTATTATCTGCCAATTTGATTAAGGACCTAGCTAGAATCAGTCTTCTGCCTGGGAGAAATGAACTACAGTAGCCTGTATACAATTCAGGTTGCCATCTAAATATAATAACTTATTTCTGAGCAAGTATGTATAAAGATACGTTCTTAACTCCCATTTTAATCAAAATTTAATGCTGGCTTCTTCCATACCAGTATCTTTAAAAAAAATACCCTTTGTTTGCCTTTGGATTGCTTGTTAAATCGGAACTCTCCATTAATTATAATTAGGTACTGTAGTATTAATACGCTTTAAATTAATGTTTCAGACATTGCTTTTACATGCTATGGTTGATAGGATCAATGCTACATTTTTAGAGACCACAGCAAAGCATATTACTGGCAGATGCAGAAACTGTTCAATATATACCCAAACATTTATCCAGAAACAAGAAAAACTAAAGGAAATCTTCAAACTAGGAGTCTAAATATGTCTGTAGAATTAATTTTTAGAGATGCAGATTGGTGAGGGAATCCAATATGTCTCTTTATAAGTTTGATGATAAGTCTGAAACCAAACAATTCTCTGTGCCACTGTTTTATCAGTATCTGTCCAGAGTAAATGATGATATTCAATGAAGAAGGGATTCTGCTACTGCTGAAATACTAAGCAATGTTAATTAGTTAGAATGCTTAGATTGAGCTATTTAAAACCTTTTCATGAATTCAAGTGTGCTGCCAATTAATCAGTTAGCAGGTTAGAAGAATATTATTTATAACATAACTTACAGAAAGTGTAGATGGTAGGTGCCATTTTAGAAGAGGTATTTATTCTCTTTTTAATAATTCGGTGCTTGATTATGGATGCACATGATGTAAAAACAAAACACACGTTCCTTTTTCTTCAAAACTTGTTTTCTCTCCCCTATATCTTATTTAGATTTAATTATGAATTATTTAATACCCATCCAATTAATTTATTTTTCTAAACAGGTGAGAGTCCTACTATTTCATATTGTCCAGTCATCACTGAAAGAAAAATACTTGAGAGGGCCAAACATCAGTAGGATTTTGGAATTCATGTGCTGCATGCCTGAAGCCCTGTTAAAACTCTGGGAGTTTTCAGGAAGGTAAGATAAAATTAATAACAACATACCATCAAGTCAGTTACAGCCGCCCTTTCCAGGGTTCCCTGGGGATAAAGTACTCAGACGTGGTTCACCATTCCCTTCTTCTGGAGGTGCTCTGGGACTGTACAGCTTGTCCAAGGCTGCACAAAATGTTTCTTCTCTAGGGAAGCACAGTGGGGAATCAAACTGCCAACCTCTGGCCCCAGACTCAGGTACTAGACTCGCTGGCCCTACCCAATAAAGTATCGTGAATAGAGAGCTGGGTCTAAATCCCCACTTGGCCTTGGATATTCCTGGGGCACGGGATGGAACTGGCAAAAATTACTCCTAAAATATCTCAGTTATCTTGAAAGCCCTATTAGGGTGGCTAATAAATTGGTTCCAACTTGACTGCACTTAATGTACCAAACATAGAATTGACTTTTTATATTGCCATCACACATTAGGATTTTGCCCCAAGAATTTCTCTGTGTGAAAAAGTATATAACATGGACATGTAATATAATTTAATACAAATAATTTTATAATTGCAGAGCTGGAGGGGACTCTGTAGATCATTGAATCCAACTCTTGTCAGGGACATACAGCGGGGAATCAACTTCCCACCTTCTGGCTCCGCAGCCAGATATCTAAACCACTAACCTTATCCAGCAGTTCTTTGCCAGTAATTTCAGCAGCTTCTGTGTAATTTATCACCCATTCTTCTTTCTATATCAGAAATTATAGATGAAATTCATTGATTTTTTTTTCAGTTCATGTACTCTAGCATTAAGCCATGTGTGTTATAAATTGACAAGACTGAAGGACTAAACAACAACAACAACTCCAGTGAGTAGATTATTGGAACACTTGGAAACTTTTTGTGATATGTTATTACTAGGAACTTTAAGAGTGAAAGCTCTTGTTTCCACATTGATATGAATGCCTCTATTACTACAGCCTCTGGTGAAGGAATCCAGTGTGTTGTATTACCCGTTTTATGCATAAATTTCCATTATTATGGCCTGAGGATATTCCAACATGCTTGTAGCTCTCCAGCCTACAGTGTGGTCTCTTGAACTTGCCCTTTTTGGCTTGCTTGAGCTGTGCAGGCGAGAATTATTTTAATAGATCCAGGAACAGGTTAACTTCTCTTTGCATGAGGAGGCCAAGCATCTTGAAAAAGTTAGCTGCATATTTGATCCTGAAACAGCCCTGGAAGTTCTGAACAATTCTCACCTAGTCATTAATAGTGTTCCTCATTTTCAGCATTGTGTTCAAAGAGGTCATGTCTGTTGAGCTGCAGACATTCTTGTATAAAGTGGACTACCTTGACTAATTGCAGTCTGGTTTCGAGCCCAGTTTTGTAAGGCAAACCTAATAGAGTACCATATTTAGGAGAGGGACAGAAATAGTGTGACATTATTGGTCTGAATTTATCTCATACCAGCTTTTGGTCACATTGACCATAGCCTTCTTCAGGATCAACTCTGTAAGTTAGGTGTAGATGCCATACTCAGACTTTGCTTGCAATTAATGGAAAACACAACTGTGTAACCATGTGATTATGCATTTGCTTCTTAGCAACTGTGCTGTGCTATTATATGATGCCACATAATGCTATTCATTCCCAATGGATTTTAACATCTATATGAAGCCACTGCTCACAGTCATTCATAGATTGGTAGATAACATCACTAGTATTTTGAAAAAACCCACCTCTGTTTTCTCTGTTAGATATACGTTAAGTGAGGTTGTGTGTATATGTCACTAATGTCTTAACTAAGTGACAAATTGGGTGTAAGATAATAGCTTACAATTAATCCTGGAAAGAGCTTCCAAAGAAGTTCCTATGTTAATGTTTTCCTGGATGTTGACAAAATCAAAGGGGGAAAAGTAGGAGTAAGAACGGGAACCAAAGGTAGTATTGGCTAATGAATCGCATTCAACATACTAACTTTACATACTCACAAAGGCTTCTGGGAATTACATTCCAAGAATGTCTGGGGACCCAAAGTTGGGAACCACTGATCTCGGGAAATCTAAATATCTTCACTGCAGTCTGTGGCAGAGGCTTAGAAGGATGTTTTTTCTGTCCTAGCACTTGCACTTTACTATGCCCTCCTTCTATATCAGCTGCCATGAACTCTTGATATCTCACAAATATGCGGGTTTTTGCTAATGCATAGTGCATGTCTTGTGATTGTCCGGGGTTCATATGCCATCTGCTTGTTCTATTGTTTCGATTTCTGTTGTTTCATTGTTGTGTACCCCATAAGCTCTTGAAACATTGTGTCAACAAACAAACAAATATTTTGTCTTATCACATCATTTGAGCAGCTTTAATCTTCATACGAAAGAACTGGTTAGTGTAAGCTTTAAAATCATATGACAGTTTACTTAATTTGTGTTATACTAGCATTTGGTTTGCTCTCCTTTTCTAATCTGTACAGATAGACTGACTCTGTGATTACGTTTCCAAGAAGCTGATTATGTATTTTCCTATAGATAGGATTAACAAGATCTATCAGACCAGGCTGACAGTAGGGTGAAATTCCTGTATAAAATGAACCAATTTGCATCATTCAGAGTAACCTGCAGATTAGAATATAGCTATACAGGAGATTTCACCTCCAAATATAAGAATGCATTTTTAGGACATTAAAATAATTACAATTCATATAGAAATGCATATTTTGAATTTGTTTTTGAAAATCAGGAATTTAATGGAATAGAAAATAATTGTGTGCAGAAACATACAAAAGATGATACAGCCAGAAACAGATCCACCAATCACTGACACTCAAGATGGATTTTTAAATGTAGGTCTAATAACATCTATAGACCTTTGCCTTTATGCAGTCTGGAATTTTGAATGGTATTGGTGCAAATAAAGGATACATGTTACAGTTGTCAAATGACTAAATAGTTCACTTTTTCAAAAACTAATTTATCAATTGCATCTGAATATGTTTAAAGTGTCCCAAAACACAATATAGGTCCTTTTTTCAGATTCTATAGAAAAGCTGGAAAGGTCATCTTTGCTATTTTATTTTTCATTTCATATTATAGTAACACACAAAAGCCAAAACTGCATGCATGCATGCATGCATGCATGCATGCATAAATAAATAAATAAATAAATAAATAAATAAATACCAACCAACCAACCAACCAACCAACCAACCAACCCCCCCATTTTATTGATTAAAGTTGCCTCTCACAAATTCATCAGCAATGCTTGATACAAATTAAGCTAACTGAGTTTCTTTATATTTTGGGTGCACTTCTCACAAATCTTCTCTGGCAGTATTAGTATACATGTACTACTTCTGCAGTCAGTAGTTGGGTATTAAAGGGAACTCAATAAATTATTCATATTTCTGTGTCTTGCATCATCCATCAGAAGATATTTTCAGCATCTTTTGACAGCCTTTGAACTACTACGGGTAAATTCTTCTTTTTACATTCTTGTTTCATAGTCTTTCCTTTTGGCTCAATCCATCCCTCCAGCCTTCCTGAATCTTTCCTGATTTATCTGAATAAATAGGTCTCTTCATGCCATTGTAAATAAAGTCATTTTCAGAAGCAGATGTCGAAATGACCTGGCAAAATAAACCCAGAGGGCAGGAACTGTCTTCCATAAGGCTTATGGCACAACGTGATGAAACAAAATGGTGCAGGCTGCGTAAAATGTAATTAAATTATCATTCCAAACTAAGAGCCTATTTAAAATCACTGAGACTTCTGAGCTCATAATGCTGACATTCTATTTGAAAGAATACTTGCCATGAGCATTTTTGATATGTTATTAATCATGCTTGACTGGTAAGATGTGAGTGAGCTACAACAAGCAGTCCCTGCAGCCTTGCCAAGAGAAGCTTTTGTTCCTTGAAGAGAAGTTGTATCAAAGGCTGCTGTGTCCTCTTATTCCATGAGCAACGGTGGCTTTGAAAGGGAGCTTTTGAGATTCCAGTACGCTGAATCAACAAACAGCGAATGAAAGAAAACCAGCACTGGATAGCACCTCAAGACTATGTGAGCTCCGTGAGCCCTCGTGTAATTCTTGTACTGGGTGACACAAATGCCTAAAGATATATGACAGTATTGGAGAAAAGCCAGGAAAGTTCTGGAATATGAAGGGGGTGGTGCTGGAATTCTTCTACCATCACCCATTATTGGAAAAAAAGAAAAGAAACCTTCTAAGCCCTAATCTCTCCATGAAGAGAAGGAAGAGAGTTCTGGGCTTCGTGAGATAAGGGTTGTGCTGACAAGAAGAATTTAAAAAGAGAAGTACAAAGAAGAGTGGGAAAATGTGCACAGAAATGAGGAAGAATGTACAGTAGTATGTGGTCTGTAAGATGGTGAAGTCTGCGGGTTCCCTCCCCCCCTGCCCCCGGCTTGGCTTAATTTGAATAGCAAAGGCTTCCTAAACAGAAAAAGATTGTGTTTGGGGAACATTTGCAGGAAGAAGCGGTGAGCAGGAAAAAGGTTCGGCAGTCCCTCCCACGAAACAGTCCCTCTGCAAAGGTTCCTAATTTCCATTAATATTGGGAATGCTTTGCTTTCTTAAAATACGTTTTTCTACCTCAGGCACAATGAATTCACCCTCTCTGCAATCTCATGATAAACATACCATCTACATTACAGGAGAGAGTTGTTGTAAGGACTTGGATGTATTCCAAAACACAAGAAAAATCTAGTTCTTCATAAGTGGGCTGTGTTTGTTTTTTGTTTGTTTGTTTTTAGAATTACTAGGTCTCGGGTTTTCACCTTGAGGTTTCGGGGTCCATTCTCTAAGTCTCATACAATGGACATGAAATATCCAGAAGTCGGATTCTGCTAATGTGGCAACCTTATCATTCTTGTAGTATCAGGACATTCCATTTAGACATGCTCAGATGTATTCCTGCTTGTTTCAACGTCATGCTGCCCTAAAGCTGCTACTTGACATTATACATTGGCCTCCATATTGATTATATAGAATCTACAATTTATGTATGTCGTGCATAGACTATTTTAGAATTGTTCCTGAAGGAGCATTAGGGCCTTGTGATATTGCAGGGGTCTGTTGCCTCTTGGTTTTAGAGTTTAGTGCTTAAATCTCAGGGAATAAGATGCTTCTGACCTAGTAACCTGATATGGCATATTTGTTCTAAGCTTCTTAGAGTTTTAGACATTTCAATAACAAATAAAGACATACATCCATAAAAAAGAAGAAAAAGAATCTACTAAAATGTATACAGATAGCACTGTGGGAGGAAGAAATTTCCTCTACAATCTGGAGGAGTCTTGATTGCTTTTTTTCCTTATTTTCATTTACAGTGGCAAATATTTTTATTATTAGTAGTTTCTTGATAGGAGCTTGTTGGTTGATTATTGTAGGGTTTTTTTTCTCATCCAACCTCTCATTTTATCCATGATACTGAGTACTTTGTAAATAAATCTACTGTTTGCCATTTTAAATGAAGATACAGTGGTGTCTCGCAAGATTAATTTAATTCGTTCCGCAGTTAATGTTGTCTTGTGAAAAATTCATCTTGCGAAACAAGTTTTCTCATAGGAATGCATTTAAATCTAATTAATGCGTTCCTATGGGCAAAAAAAAGTCAGAACAACGTCAAATTTGGTTTACAAAGGGTTTACGTGCTCTTTAAAGCCATACATATTGTGCAGATGATTTCAAAAATTTCAGTTAAAAAACTTTTTAAACATCATAGAAAAACATTTAAAAATCAGCAAACATGAGGCAGGAACAAAAAAATGAAAAACATTCTTCTTGTGAAGCATGGGCATAGGAACGTTTATCTTGCGAGGCATCAACCCCATTGCCCAAACCATTTGTCTTCCGGCAGGAACAAAAAAAATGAAAAACATTCTTCTTGTGAAGCATGGCCATAGGAACATTTGTCTTGCGAGTCATCAACCCCATTGCCCAAACCATTTGTCTTCCTTTTTTTTTTCCTGCGAGGCATTTGTCTTGCGAGGCACCACTGTACATCTTTCTGCTAATATGAGGCTTGGCCTTTGAGGGCTTGGGCAGCCTCTGGGTTTTCCAGAAAAACTCAAAACCAGATAGCATCCAGGATTTAGAGTGGTAAACTGCTTCAAACTTCAGTGTCTTTGAACAGTCTGCCGCCATTTCTGGTAGTGACAGCTGGCTAAAATGAATTCTGCTACAGCAAAAAAAGGAAATGGACAGAAAAAGTAAACAGAAATCTGATGATTTTTCACTGCAGCTCAGTGGAACATAACATTGTGTTCAAATGCAAAATATAGATTTTGCATCCATATTACCTCTTTGTAAAATCATATTAGTCATGGTGAACACTTTTGTTGAAACATGACCTAGAAATATAGTAAATAAAAACAGAGATTATTTCTTATGCCTTGGTAGCACTTTAAGAAAGCATAACAGCTTTAAGAACTAAATCATGAAATAATTGCTAAAGAAGGGTACTGCACAATAGAAGAAAACCAGTGTTATATTGGAATTTCTTCCCATATTAACATGTTTCCTCTTCCATTTTTTCCAACATCATTACAAGGGCTGGAATCCTATTGGCACAGCTCTGTGCAGATAAGACACACTATTTCATCAACTGTGGCCTTTGATCTTTAATTAAAGTTTCTCATCCTCCACCCCCCAGATTCTGGTGCTCCCTAGGGACCCCTTTTGACCTGGGAGCCCTGGCATGGTGGGGGGAGCTTTTAATATATTTTCAGACATTATAAGTTTCCATCCAAGTATGAGATCCACAAGAATTCCCCAGATCGAAATCGATCACTAGGAAGCCTCAGAACCTCAGGAGATGTAGAATAAGAAGATAAACATCTTCTTATGTAGCTGATGGCATCATCTGCTTTATATGCATGGTGCTTCACTGACAGGAATCTCGCCAATGTACATCCTCACCTGGATCTGACTCTTACCACCAAGGAATAAATATAGGTGACATGTATTTGCACACCCTGTGTCTGAAGAAGCAGATTTTGATCCAGAAAAGCTCACACTGGAATCAATCTGTTAGACTTTATGCTGCTACCATATTTTGCCCTCCCTCTTTCTTTTCTTTATCCCCTTTTCTGACATAAGAAGATGGGCTTCACCCTGTATCAGGACATAAGGTAAATTGAAAGCACCTAAGTAGGAACATTGTACAGGACATTTTTGGCAGGAACCCTTGCTTCCTTTGTAATGGCTATATTTAAAAACAGAGTATTAACTAATTTGTATTGACTGAAATTTAATTCACTTCTCAGAAATCTCTGCCTTTGAATGGTAATTATTTCCCCTCTTTGTAGGTTAAGTGAAGTGGAGAAATTGCTCTGAGAAGCTGTATTCAACAATTGCAGATATTGCTCAAGAATGAACACAAAGGATACGAAAGTGACAGAAGGAGGCCTCAACGTCACTCTCACAATTCGCCTTCTTATGCATGGAAAGGTAACATGCTTGTTGTATAAATATCGGAAGTATGAGGAGCTGTCTTACATGTCGGGGACAATTAGGGTACAGTGTCATGTCACATAAGCAGAGTGATCAATCTTTTTTGAAGTATGTACATTTAAATTTAATACATCATGACTGAAATTCTGTTGCTTAGCCTAGTACGTCACCCTAGAGTAGGCTCACTGAAATCGGTGGTGATTTGGTTAGTCAACTCCTCTCTCAATTCCATTGATTCCAATGGGCCTACTCTAATTGTGACTTCTTATGCTAACTGTAAAGATGCTGCTAAAATATATGAAATACATTATGAAAGAAACTTAAAAGAGCAAAACCGAGCGGATGCATGATCAATTTTATAAGCTAGGAAATGCCTGGGTAAATAGGTGGTTTTTCCGAAAGTGTTCAGAACTCTCTACTTTTCTACATTCCAGTTCAATGAGCCACTTTCCTGCGCTGCTACACAGTGCTTCAGAGGAAGGCCTGTTTTCCTTATTACACCCCTTATACTATTGTCAAAAGAGGGAGGGAGGAAAAAGCAGTGATATTAGCAGTACTCTGTCCTTCTAACTGCAACAGCTGTACTTTCCACTGGGAGGGAAGAAAGGATGAGATGGCTTGCCCCTTCGCCACCTTCCATCAGTAGTTGGCTCCACTTTGGGCTGACATTTTTTTTCTGTCTTGAATTGTTCCCTGAACCAAGGCACCATGGGAGGGCTGATGGGGAAAATTACCTGTGCTGCTTCCCAGACCTCTATCACCTGAGGTGATCTCATCCAGCTTCATAATGTCCCTGGTCCTGCTTCTTTCTTATTAGATTCATCTTCTCCCCCTTCTACTGCACTACCAGAAGAGTTTCTTGTACTCTATCTAAAAGCTGTAACTTCCCTGATAGGCTGAAGTGTGGATAAGTTTATGTGAAGGCCTTGTGTCATCTTTGCCAGCAGACGCTTGCTACAAGTATAGTTTCCTACTTCATCTGGTGAAAATTCTGAAAATTTAGAGAATGTGCTATTTTGAAATCAGATAAAAAACACACAGACACCCCCCCCAAAAAAAAAACCTCAGGCCATCTCACTGCTTTATGAAATCCTGGGAATAATTTTTCTTAACCATCTAAGTGAAGTAGAGAAACCTATCCTGAGCTGACAACAGATTGGCTTTAGACGTGGGAAGAATGGCATAGAACAAATCCTACATATTATACAAAATATTGAGAATGGCCTTGAAACTTACAGGATCACCAGAGTAGTCTTTGTTGACCTCTGGGCCACCTGTGACACTGTTCATTGTCAGATATTGCTGCAAAAAAAATCTATGATCTAATAAATGAGTTAGGTATCAGGCTGTGGAGCTAGATACTGGGAGTTCAGTTCCCCATTGTGCATCTCAGAAGAGCCAGCTTGTATGACCTTGGGCAAGCTCCAAATTTCCAGGAAGAAGGGAATGATAAACCACTTCTGAGTACTGGAAAGGATCGCCATAAGTCATAATTGACTTGACAACGCACAGTTGCTATTGTCATTAACCAAGGATCATAAGATAACTAAAGTAATAATAATCTTTTTGCAAAATTAAAGATTTTTTGTTAGCTTTCAAAGACAATGCATCTGATAGAGGACTCAAAAGAGTAGTACAGGGAAGTGGATAGGCTCCTATTTTAACATATACAGCAGCAAACAATTACTGCTTCAAGTCACTAGAAGTTTTATTTATGCTGAGGATCTCACTTTCTGCTCAGTTGGACAGCTTTCAGATGGTAGAATATCTTCTAACAGATACATTAGAAGAACTTGATGTACATTGTGATATAAATCAATTTAAATCCAAGCTTAGTGATACTGAAATATGTACCTTCCAGCTAGATCATCATTTTACCCCCAAATATCTTGGTGCTACTTTGAATTGTAAACTGACCTATAAGAACCATTGTGAAACAAAAGGTGTCCACAAGATACAATATTCTTTGAAAGCTACAGGGAACCAATTGGCACACACATCACAACACTGAGATCTATAGCCTTGGCCCTGTGCTACTCTTCAGGGAAATGTGCTAGCACAGTATGACACAGTTCAGCCCATACAAAACAGGTAGACGTAGCACTCAAGGAAAACAATAGAATCATTAGTACAGATCTATAGCCTTGGCCCTGTGCTACTCTTCAGGCAAATGTGCTAGCACAGTATGGCGCAGTTCAGCCCATACAAAACAGGTAGACATAGCACTCAAGGAAAACACTAGAAGCATTAGTACAGTCATGACCAAAAATATTGGCACCCTTGCAATTCTGTCAGAAAATGTAATCCTTCTCTCAGAAAATTGGTCCAGTTGCAAATGTTTTGGTACTCACATGTTCATTTCTTTGGTTTGCATTGGGACAACACACAAAAAAAACAGGGAAGAAAAGTCAAATCTGATACAATCCCACACAGAAACCTAAAAATGCACAGGCCAAAATTATTGGCACCCTGTCTAAACTGTAATAAATAATTGCTTTTCAAGCATGTTATGCTCCTTTAATTTGTATTTAGACCCACCTGTCGCAAGTAAGAGGTGTGGGCAATATAGTAATCACACTTGCAACCAGTTAAGATGTAGAAAGGTTGACTCAACCTTTATGTTATGTGTGACACTGAGCATGGAGAAAAGAATGAAGTGTAAAGAGTTTTCTGTAGATTTCAGAGAAAAAAATTGTGGAAAAACATTGACAATCTCAAGGCTACAAGTCCATCTCCAGAGATCTTAGTGTTCCTGTGTCCACTGCGCACAATATCATCAAGAGGTTTACAGCCCATGGCACTGTAGCTAATCTCCCTGGATGTGGATGGAAGAGCAAAATTACTGAAAAGTTACAATGGAGGGTTGTTCGAATGTTGGATACAAAACACAGATTAACTTCCCAACAAATTCAAGCTGATCTGCAGATACAGTGTACAACAGTGTCAGCTTGCAATATCTGTCGCCATCTGAATGAAAAGGGACGCTATGGTAGGAGACCCAGGAGGACACCACTGCTGATTCAAAGGCATAAAAAAGCAAGCCTGGAGTATGCCAAATCTTATGTGACAAACCCACAATCCTTCTGGGAGAACGTACTATGGACAGATGAGATAAAAGTAGAGCTTTTTTGTCAAGGACATCATGGCACTGTTTACAGAAAAAGAAATGAGGCAGTCAAAGAAAAGAACATAGTCCCTACAGTCAAACATATTGGAGGTTCAAAGATGTTTTGGGGTTGCTTTGCTGCTTCTGGCACTGGATACCTTGACTGTGTGAACAGTATCATGAAATCTGATGATTACCAAATACTTCTGTGGCGCAACAGAATGGTCAGTGTCAGAAAGCTGCGTCTCCACCAGAGGTCATTGGTCTTCCAGCAGGACAATGACCCGAAACACACTTCAAAAAGTACTCAGAAATTGTTACAAAGTGAGCGCTGGAGAGTTCTGAAAAAATACTTGTTTTTCACAAACAGGTGGTGCTAAATGGCAAGCTACCTCTGGTATAAGTGATAATATTCTTAAGGAATCATACTCCAGTCCTTCTGAAAAAGACACGATTAGCAAAGGGCAGGTAGGAGGAAACCCCAAAGGTATCTGGACACCAACGGACAACAGAAACTTGCCCCACAGCTATAAATACTCAACTATCCAAGCAAACTGCATCAAAGTACCGACAGAGTTCTGAACCCTGTTCTCTGAAGATGCCAGCTGCAGAGAGTGGTGAAACATTAGGAAGAACAACCTTAAGAACACAGCCAAAGAGCCTGTAAAACCCACAATGACCAAAAGTGCTGGAGAGTTCTCAAATGGCCAGAAATGAGTCCAGATCTGAATCCCATAGAACACCTGTGGAGTGATCTCAAAACACAGTTGGGAGAAGGCATCTTTGAAATCTGAAGGCCCTGGAAAAGTTTGCAAAAGAACAGTGGTCTGAAATTCCAGTGGAGAGATGTAAGAAACCCATTGATGATTACAGGAAGCAATTGATTTCAGTTATTTTTTCCAAAGAGGGTGCTACCAAATATTAAGTTAAGGGTGCCAGTAATTTTGGCCAGTGCATTTTTGGGTTTCTGTGTGGAATTGTATCAGATTTGACTTTTCTTCTCTTTTTTGTGTTGTTCCAACGCAAACCAAAGAAATGAACATGTGAGTACCAAAACATTTGCAATTGCAACAATTTTCTGAGAGAAGGGTTGCATTTTCTGATGGAATTGCAAGCGTGCTAATATTTTTGGCCATGACTATAGATGCCTGAAGCCAACTCCTAGTAATAAAACAGATTACCTTGCAGTGTTGCCCCCCATAAGAATGTACAGAGAGAGGTGACAGCTGACCATTAAAAACTCAAAACATCTACACCAAATGCACATCCACTCTTTAGTTACCATCCTGGCCCTCCCGTTTAAAATCAATGAAAAGTTTTTTCAGAACATTGTGAACCCTGAAGTAGTAGCAAAGAAGATCAGGACTGTAAAGTGGAACCTCTTAAAGCTGATGGAACCCCCAGACAAATCTGGTCTATGGTCATACAGAGAACTGAGTTTCTTGGGAATCACAGTGGAGAGCTGTCAACAGAAACAAGTGAATTCAAGAAAATGGGGATATTGCACTGGCCAGCTCCTTTCTTGTAGGCCAAAGGAGCAGGTTTCTTCTTCATTCATGTCACGTCAACGTCTGTTGGTGGTGATGCCAGCACTCCTCAACTTCCATTCAGATTTCTCTACTGAATGCCCAAATTGCTTCTGTTCATGAATTTCCTGAGGAAGACATGATGCCCAGTAACATCTCTTCCTCAGAGATTGTGTTATTGCAGAAAAAATAACAATGGCTCTGCAGCAACAATATACTCTGTTTTAGACCTCCATTTGATTATGGCAGTTCACATGACACATAAATTAAGCTCAAAGTTTTTTATTTTAGTTCAGGTGCCAACTTGCAACTGTGGTGTGCATTGATTCAGTGTGGCTGCACACTATTAGGACTGTGGGCATTTCCTGTATTTCCCACTCAGGTGTGGGCATTCCACTATTTCCCATGCTTGAAATCATGAAACCTCCTTTTGGCAGCCACTTCATCTTCCTTTTCCAGTGAAGCTGTTCCTCATTCCATTGTTTTCCTTCACCACAGCCTATACTCTTTCGCAGTCATCATTGCCGCCGCCACCAGCCAACCTTTTAAAAATAATTGCACCTTGTTATTGCTGTGCAAGTGTGCAGCTGCACATTATAGCTCCGTATCTCTGGTTTATCTGGCTATTTTTACCTCTTTTTTGTCTGAAGATTTCCCTTTTACACTAGTTTTGGCTAAGAATGCAAACTCAAGTAACAGTGGCAAAAGGTCTGTCCTGGCACTAGGCTGAAAATCTTCATATAATAAAGATCCTGGGTAAGAAAATGGCGCATGACATGTTCTGGCCCATGTAATGATATCTTAATACCTTTCAGTGTGTCTTCTCATCTTAGTAGAAGATGAGAAGCCTGAGACACTCTTCTACAATGATTAAGTGGGTATGAAAGCGAAGTGTTTGAAGAAATAATCTTGTTATGCCATAATGCAGAAGTGTCAGTCTTCAAATGGCCCTGCTTGTTGCCCATTTTTTAATGAGCTTGGTGCTATGTTTTTCAGTGATACTATGATCCAAGTATCAGACATGCAGTATCAAATCATATATGTTCCCATGTCCTCTGTCACCATTTCTCCACCTGCACTGCAGGATCAAAGCAATTCAGAAGACTTGTTCTTCAAAGACCTCTACAGTCTTCTGAAGAAGAGGAAATGGCAACATCTTGCATGAGCTGTGCAATGATTTATAGTCCATAGAAGCGTAAGCCATAACAAATTTGCTAGCTTTTAAGAAACTGCAAGACTTTTCCTGTTTTTCTGAACTTCCCATGCTTTTCAGCTTTGTGGTAGCACCTCTCTATAAGACAGATCAATGTCTGTATCCTTTTCTTTTGGATAAGGGCTGAATCAGTGGTGATGACTTGCTAAGGATGTTGGTTCATGATGAAAGTGTCTTCCTTGTTCCCAGCTTAACCATTAGACTGCAAACTGCTTATTACATTATAGCAAACATACTATGTGACAGTGAAATGTAGTAGACAGGGTAGTAAACTAGGACTCTGGAGACCTGGATTCAAATCCCTGCTTGGCCATGGAAACTCAGTGGTGTGTGTGTATAAATGGTAAAAACACTCCTTACATATCTCACATACCTTAAAAACGATGACAGGATTGCTTGCTGTAAATTGGATGTCATTTAATGGCACTTAACAAACACACTGTATGTCGCCTAGCTTTACTAAAGGAATGAATATCTATTATTATCTTGTTAGATACCTGATGCTCTCCTATACTACCTGACTGAATAGTTGGAATCAATCTACTGCATTGTCAAGTTTATATCTGCTAGTGACTTGCTCTGTCAGTGTTGTGCTTTATGTTCACAGAGCTTAAGTGCTGTTGTGACATTAAAGCTAAAGCAATCACTTTGCAAAATTGTTTCCTGCACAGTGATGCTGTCCTCATTGCTGATTTGGCACCATGATTTATCACCTAATCCATTTTATGAATTAGATGTGCAAATCCTGGCTAGGTCTAGCTTTTATCATTAAGTAAAGTGGGTCTTGTGTTTTTAATCAGTTACTTACTGAAAGAACAGAATAATTGAAAATTTTAGGAATTCCATATGCTGTCACATTAATAGTGGCAGGAAAAACTGAGCCGTTATCTTTTTTTTTTCTTTTCCCCTTTTGGAGGTGGTCAGGATCTCTAGCTTCCCTAATTTTATAGCAACCAAAAATCAATCAAGATAATGAAAAGAGGGTATGTGAACGGAAGAGCTGATCCTGCAGCAGCAGGAAGCCACTGAAGAAAGCAAAAGCTGCAGATGCTCTCAACTGTTTATTAAAGAATTTGGTGTCAAAGGTGTTTGGACCTATTAGGATCAGAGGCAAAAAAAAAAAACCCTACAGAAAGCTGTCTTTCATAAAGCAAATAAATGTTTGCTACCAAACGTTAGACAGATTCCACCCACGGTGTTGGAAATGAACATAGGCCAGGACATTGTATGAATTACTGCTGGTTCCTTTCTGTGTTTCTAGGAGAAGGCATCAACGCAAATTGCAAGTTGGCAGGGCATTTTGATAATGACGAAACTTCCAAAATGTTATACTGGTTGTGCAGAGTGCTGATTGGTTCATCATTGTGACAGTTGTAACATTTGCCTATTGGAGCGTCTAGTTTCTTTTTGAAAAACAAAAGCAAATACAGTATGTCGGCTTAAGCCTCTCATAAGAGTTTAAGTCAGGGTGGGGAATTTTTGGAGGGCCCATACTGCCTTCTCTGGTTCTTCTGCATATAGGATGAAGTCAATCAGCATGACCATATCTAAGATGGCATTGAATCCCCAGCTAGTACAAAGCTAGCTTCACTCTTCCTCCTGCTTCCCTATGCAAGAAGCTGGCACTTGCAGATATTGGCTGAATCTTAAGACTGGAGCTTAGCCAATGCATACAAGCACTTGCTGAGAGTGCAGCCGCATTCATTCCTTTTTCCTCCATTCTCAGTGGAGAAAGTGGATGAAGAGCAATGCCATTCACACATTCAGCTGAAACTTCAAGCTCCCGTTGAATGCCAGCCTAGGATTTCTGGCTCTTGCAAATGCTGTCTGAGTGCCAGGCTGGCTTTCCACACCCCTTTCCCTTCTCATTTGGGAGGGCAAACAGTTTAAGAGCTACTCACTGTGATCTCACATCAAGGAGATATTCTTTTGCACACTGCTCACATTCCCAGTGGGCATATGGAAGTATACTACTTGGCCTGTTCATGAAATTTACAGAGCCATCCGGTGAATTTATTACTCTGTGTGTGTGTGTGTGTGCGTGTGTGCGTGCGTGTGCGTGTGCGTGTGCGTGTGTGTGTGTGTGTGTGTGTGTGTAAAGTAAGAGGTGTTAAAAACATTTAGAAAGCAAAGCAAACAAATCAATAAGTTTTTCAAAATAACTTGGGGGTGTGTGAAAACATAATACTTTCCCTAGAGAATAAGACAGGTATAGCACCTGCCTCAAAAAGCATATACTGAAAAAAAGAAACAAAATCAGAAAACCGATTTTTGAACATTTGAAACTGATACGTGTTTTAAAAGTTACACAAAATGGCAACTTCCAAAATGTTAATTAAAAAAGTAACTATTTTCCTTAAACTTCATGAGCCACATCCAACCTCTGAGTGTTAGTTTACCATTCCTGATCTTATTATTCTGATTCAATAATAAATGTAGATCTCATTATTACTATTACAATTAAAGCTTGTGGTAGGCTGGCTCTATCTTCAAGTCATGCTGACATACATAGATACTGTATACTGTATAGATGATGTCTTCTTTTCAGGTCGTTTTAATTTGCATTTTGCTTTGTTTCAGGAGGTTGGCAGCATCATTGGAAAGGTCAGTGACCCGCTTTCTCCAAGCTACATTTGTCTGAGTCAATTTGATTCATTCAATATTTTTCTAAAAACTCACTAATTAATGGAAGTTAATATATACTATCTGTCTCTTTATTAGAAAGGAGAAACTGTTAAGAAGATGAGGGAAGAGGTAAGAGATAACATTTTGAACAATTCTGGCATACATTTGAGGAATGTTTGAAGTTGTTACATATATTAAAATAAATCAATTTAGCTTAAAGGTGCCAGAAGGTCTGATTTGTCTTGTTTTGTTCTTGTTAGTTTATCTATGGACTGCTGGTGGTGGGGACCCAGCTTTTATCCATGAAACAATCCTGCCACCAAGTGGCAAAAAAAGAACTGAGTGCCAAAGGGTTTAAGCACCACCATAAAAAGAGTAGCATTTTAGATTTACACAAGAGAAACCCTCAGTTAAAATCCCCTGCTCAGCAATAAATCTCACTGGGTAATTCTCATTTAGCGTGACTTACATTAAAAAGCTGTGAGGATAAAGTGAAATAATTCCATGCACACACTGGGGTTGGGAAAGTGTAGGACATTAACGTGGCAAATAAATGTCAGCGAACTTAACACAGGACTACTTTTAAATAAAAGCAATTATTTCTTTAAATGGTTTTCCCTGATTTCTGAATCTTCTGAAATTTTTCCTAAAATATATATATTCACCTAGCTGATAAATCTGTGCCTGGGTTGCATGTATTCTGATTGAATATAGCAGCTCAAGTAATCATATTTTCTTCCATATATTCAAAAGAAAAGCCTTGCTCATAAAAAAAACCAGATGCATGGGAACAAGGGTCTAGTCCAGCTGTCTCCCTCACACTAGTTTTCTTTGTACAAGGACTGGATTGGATTTTGTATGGAGCAGCCTTCTATTATGTGAATGTTTTTCCACATGCTGAACTATTTCAGCCTAGTTTGTTCTTAGAATATCTCCCTCATGGTTCATGCTGAGTTGGAGCATGATACTTAACTATATTTCATCAAAGGGACTTAATTCCAAATATGAATACTTTGGAATTGCAGTTTTAGCATCATGATCTCCTCAAATAAAATGCTACACAAACTACAAAAGGGAAAATTCAGCTAATATTACCGGGAACATTAGTTTTTATTATTTCCTGCAATCTAAGAGATTGCTTTAGTTATTAAAGTTTATTGCTTCTCCTACTTTTCATCTGGCAATATGTTTTAAGCTGTAGCATTAACTTATTTATTAGTCATATTATACATTTCTATTTTCCCCTCACAAGGAAAAATCCTTCTATATAAGATGCTAAAATAGCATAACATCAGCATTTAGTTTATTTCCCAGAGCACAAAATCATTCTTCATCTCATGTAGACTGCATTCCTGCTAAATCACACTGCAAGGATGGCACTACACATCCTTGGCAAAGAAGAGTTTCCTGAAGGACAGTAGAAATGCTACTCTTAGGCACATCAGCACAAACATCTTCATACGGCTTTGTATCATTTTCATCTGTAGACAACTTTGCTTTTGATTCAGTAAATTAGAAAAAGAAGGTTATTTCCAAATGCAGTGTTTCTACAAATGAGCCAGCCAGCGGTTCATACCTGCATTTATTCTTCTCCTTCCCTTTTCTCATCCATGTGAAGAAACAAATAAGCTTCTGCTTCTAGATTGGAGCAGACCAAGGCAGATGCATTCTATTTGCCCTCCATCATCACTTCTTTCACCCTCCTACATATGGAGGGTGACAAGTCTGAATAGGGACAGCATTATCATCTTTGGGGGCTCTCATTACGAATCAGGACACTCCATTCATGTGGAGAATGTGCAGCTAAAGATCTCCATTTTAAACTCTTTGTCTTCTGTGTGCAAGAAGACAACAAAATGGTGTGTATGGGTGTGTGTGGGTGTGTGTGTGAGAGGGAGGGAGGGAGGGAGGGAGGGAGAGAAGGATGGAGAGGTGTGTGGGAGGGAGGGAGGGAGAGAGAGAAGGATGGTGGGGGGGTGCTTACACATACGTAAGAACTACTGAAGATAGCTCTAGTTTGTGATGCCCAGATGCAGCTCTAGCCATAGTTTGCCATCAAAGCAAAATTACAAACCAGAAAATTGCTGCTGGTGATGCAGCTTGTACAATGCAATGATATTTCCTGCACCCTGGAAAACCAAACAAAGCCTTTAATCAGTGGCAATTCGCTGCTGCTGCCATCGTAACTATTGTGCACACAGGGCTGCACAATAAATTCAGGTATTCAGAGCACACATTGAATCCACTTATAGTGGTGTTGATCTCAAACACACCACATGAATTCCAAGATTTTTGGAGATTTTAGGGCTCTTAAAAACAGCATCTACTACATCTTAAGGGGCTGCACTTAGAAGGGTGTATGAGTGGTCCTCAAACCTCTGTGCTTACCCAGTAACACTTTGAGCACAACAAATATGCACATTTGTTTGGATTCAGCTTCAATGTGAATGCAATTATCCTTCAGCTTTTGTACTTTTCTAGATTTTCTATTGTTCTGTGAGATGAAACTAAAGAAAACAGCTAATAAAAAATTAATCCTATTACAGAAAGTTGCATAGAAAAAGACATATAGTAAGGGGAAATTCTAGCAATCAAACCCCATGGGTACAGGGCAAAGTCCCAACAAAAATGCATACAAATTTTCATGTATTCATATTTCCATGCAAGGCTTCAAAAAAAATCTCAAACTGATGCAAAAATTGTAGAGAATGAAAATGTGCTTGAAAAAAAATGTGAACAATATTACAGAAAACAGAGTCCTTCATCCCTATTAAACATAACATGGCACTCTTTGGATCATAGCCACATTATTTAATTTGTAGCTCTTCAGAGGGACAGCATTGATTGTTCTCATCTCCATTTCATGCCATTAACAAATTAGCCTCCATTGTGTACATTACAGCTGCGAATCATTTTCAAGGAGAATGAAATGAAAAAAGAATCACTCTTGATTTCAGCAATGCGGTTGCTGCATCTCTTAGTTAACATTGCTTCTTCTGTGTGTGTGTGTGTGTTTGTGTGTGCATGCGTGCGTATACGCGTGCGTGCATGCATGCATGCATGCGTGTACACACACTAAATTTGTGATGTTCAACTTGGTTGCCAAGAGGGCCCTAATTGTTATGAGGTTTGGTAAAGGGCTGGGTGCTTTACAGAAAGGAAGCAAATAAGCATTTTGATAAAGTGCCCATTTTCACAGAGTGGTGCTCGAATCAACATCTCTGAAGGTTCCTGTCCAGAAAGAATTGTGACGATAACAGGCCCAACAGATGCAATTTTCAAGGCTTTTTCTATGATTGCACTAAAATTTGAAGAAGTAAGTAAATGGAAACTCCTAATATATACTCTTTTGTTTTGATATCTTTGTGCTTTTTCTAATAACATAATTTTATTGCCACTAAATAAAATGTTAACGTTGCTTTTTTAATGTGAATGCTCACCTCTGCAATGACAGAAGAAAAATGTTAAGCCCTTTTTGTGCCATTTAATCACTTATTTTCATTCTGACGTTCCTTGTGGGAATCAGTGTAGTCGGTGTGGTGGATGAATGATAAAAGAAACAAGCTACTTGGCTATGCTGCAGATCCTGTTTTAATTCAAACTGAAAGGAATAACTCATTTACTTCTAATGTGGGTATAGCACATGACAGAATTAAGAAATCAAAGTTTTTCTTTCTAAACATTGCATTGCTGTTTATGAGCAAAGAGAAAGAATAAAATACGAAACATACTGCCTGGAGAATTTTTAGAACTGTAGTCTTAAAACAAAAATCTGCTCATGTCTATACACCAAAGAATTGCAGAAGAAGATCGTCTGTGCTTTATAGACTGCAGCAAATCCTTTGACTATGTAGATCATGAACAGTTATGGGTTGCTGTGATAGAAGTGTGTGTGCTGAACACTTCATTGTCCTGATGCATAACTTGTATGATGTACCATTAGACAGAATAGGAAGAGAAAGAATGGTTTCCTGCAGGCAAAAGTGTTAAACAAGGGTGTACTGTATTTCCTTATGTCTTTAAACTATATGGAGAACAGATCATATGAAAAGCTGGACTAGATTCAGATGAAGGAGAAGTGAAAATTGGTGCAAAATACATCGATAATTTAACATATGTAGATGACCTCATCTTAGTGGCAGAAAGCAGCAATGACTTGAAATGACTTTTAATGAAAGTGAAAGAAGAAAATGTCAAAGCAGGACTGTAGCTGAACATTAAGACAATCAACACCATTATAGAAGAACTACACAACTTTAATGTTGTCAGTTAAGAAATTAAGACTAATAAAGATTTTGTATACCTTGGTTGCATAACCCACCCAAATTCAGAGTGCAGCCCAGAAAACAGAAGAAGACTGAGATTCAGAAGAGCAGCAATGAAGGAATTCGAAAAGATTATCAAACGTAAGGATGGGTCACTAGAAATCAAGACCAAGATCATCTTGGTATTTGGTACAAGATCTTGGTACAAGATCCTCTTGTATTTCCAATCGCCATGTATGGGTGTGAAAAATAAATAATTTGTTTGAATTATGGTGCTGAAGGAAAACCTTGTAGTTACTCTGGACTGCTGGAAAGCCAAGAAAGTGGAACCTGTAACAAATCAAACCAGAACTATCTCTGGAGGCAAAAATGTTGAAACTGAGGCTGTCCTACTTTGTACACATCACAAGAAGGGAAGATTCTCTGGAAAAGAGAATAATGCTGGAAAAGGTGGAAGTCAGCAGGAAAAGAGGAAGACCAAATACAAGATGGATTGACTCTGTAAAGGAACCACATGTGGCCTTTAGTTTACAGTTCCTGAGCAAGGATATTGAGAAAAGAACATTTTGGAGATTTTCTCATTGGTAGCGTCGCCATAAGTTGGAAGTGACTTGATGGCACATAATAGCAATAACAGCAACAACATCTTCTTGACTGAGTACTTAAGGAGATATAAAGATTAGCCTAAATATAGAAGCCTATGGAAATCCATAAAACATAAAACTATTGCAAAATAATTTAAGAGTGGGGTCTCGACCTACAGAATTAATCCATACTGGAACGGGGGTCCATAGGTTGAAAAGTCCTCAAGTCAAAAATGCATTTCCCATAGAATTGCATTGAAAACCATTTAATCTGTACCTGGCCCAAGAACCCCCCCCCCACACACAAAAATTTAATAAAATTTACACTTACCATTCTGAAGCCTTCCAGGTGTCTCCCATTGCCGCCGTCGCCACTGCCCAAGGCCTCCGAGGACTTCTCCGCCAAACCATTTAATCTGTACCTGGCCCAAGAACCCCCCCCCCACACACAAAAATTTAATAAAATTTACACTTACCATTCTGAAGCCTTCCAGGTGTCTCCCGTTGCCGCCGTCGCCCCTGCCTGAGGCCTCTGAGGGCTTCTCCGCCGCTGCTGGAGGCCTCTCGGGGGTCCCTTGCTACCACCATTGACATTGCCGGAGGCCTCTCGGAGGTCCCCCCCACGCTGACGCAGTTTTTCTCATGGTGGATTGGGCCTACCAGGGGAGGGCTTCCCCCAGTAGGCGCACTCTACTCCCCAGGCTTTCCCAAGGAGTAGACCGGGCCTACTGGGGGAAGCCCTCCCCTGGTAGGCCCGGTCCACTCCCTGGGAAAGCCTGCGTCGGTGTGGGGGGAGAACCTCTGGATGCCTTCCCCGCCACTATGGGAGGCAACTCGGAGCTCTCCCCCGCCACCAATAGTGCCTCCAAAGTACTATCGGTGGTGGTGGGGAACTCCAAGATGCCTCCCATGGCGGCGGGGAAGGCATCCGGAGGTCCCCCGCTGCCACCGCAGCTGCTGGGAACTGAGCCGTGCCGGGCAATCACGGCCATGCTCGGACTCCTGGACCTCCCCCGCCAGGCAAACAAATTAAAATATAGACATGTTTTCAAAAAAATCAAGTCCTGTCAGTTAACTTTTGAGTAGCTACTGCAAAACTTGTTACTTTATTTACTACCACTTTATAAATGTCAGGCAACAGATAATTTTATTTTGGTGTTTTGGTGGTCAATTCACCACCAAGACTTATGCCAATTGAGTTATGCCAGCATAAAAGCATAGTAGTTTTTTTTTCAACTTTTGAGTAGCTACTGCAAAACTTGTTACTTTATTTACTACCACTTTATAAATGTCAGGCAACAGATAATTTTATTTTGGTGTTTTGGTGGTCAATTCACCACCAAGACTTATGCCAATTGAGTTATGCCAGCATAAAAGCATAGTAGGATTGTGGCCGTTCCTTAAGTGTGAATTGGAATTTTAAGAATTGCTACCTAAAACTTTCTGATTTTGTTGTTACAGGATATCAATACTTCAATGACGAACAGCACAGTAACAAGCAAGCCACCTGTAACATTGAGACTTGTTGTGCCTGCAAGTCAGTGTGGATCCCTTATAGGGAAAGGAGGATCCAAAATCAAAGAAATCAGGGAGGTAAGCCAATTAACCAAGGTATTAACTGCTTACCTGAACCTTGAAAACATACTGGTTTTCAAGGTTCAGGTAAGTTTTATATACAGATGTCTCTGTTGAGGAATGGTGTATGCCATTCAGCCCCCAAGTGGCTGCTTCTCAGAGAGGTTTTCCTGCCATAGCTAATTTTCTTTCTAATAAATCTCAGAATCGCTTGGACACAGTTTAAACACTGTCCACAAATCACCAGTGGAAGGATGGCAGGAGTTTCCTTAGCTGCTAGAATCAAAAAGCAAGCAACAGTGTCAGGATGTTAGTGTGTTCATGTCCCTCAGCACCAGTTACTCATCTCCCATGATACAAGGTACAGTATATGTTTCTTCTATTAGAAGTGTGGTGACTTGACTGCAAGTGATGAAGTCCTAATGGGTCCTCATGAGAAGGAGAGAAGAACAGTAGAGAAAATTTTATTCTATAATCACATTTCTTGATGAAGACTTTGATATTTGCAGATTATAGATATTTGTGGCTGGTCTTTGAATAGCAAAGAGACCCCTAATGTAAGCCTAGGGTGGGTTCCCTTTTCCTCCTTTTTCACTTAAATGCTCTTGTTTCCTTCTCTGACTTCCTTATTTCAGCATATCAACTTTGTTTTTACATCTGAACCAGGCAAACATGATTTGTGTTTTGTTTTATTTTATTTTATTTTGATTCTGCCTTTCTCCCCATAGGGAATCCATGGCTGTTCAGAACAGTTGAAGCTATATAGTCATCACAATTTTTAAAATGTCATTTTAAAAACTATACTAAAAATAATTAAACATGCATCAATATTAAAACCACAATTAAAAACATTTTAAAAGCATTAAAAAATAATTTCAATAAATGTAACATTTCTGAGATTCCCACTTATTGTTTAAAAGCCTGCCTGAAAAGAAAGATCTTCACTTGGTTATGGAAGGTGAAGAGGGAGGGGGCAACCTAGGTTTAAAGGGCAGCACATTTCAAAACCTGGGAGCAGCCACTGAGAAGGCCCCTCTCTCATGTACTCACCAAACAAGCCTTGGAAGGTGATGGAAATGAAACAAGGGCCACCTCAGAAGATCTTATAATCCAAGAGGGCTCATGTGGAGTTACACAGATCTTCACATAGCCTGAACCCAAGCTATATAGGGCTTTGAAATGCAGACTGGCAGCCAATGAAGCTGCTGTAGTAACGGAGTTGTGTGTTCCCTGTAACCAATGCCAGTTAGCCATCTGACTGCAGCATTTTGAACCATCTAAAGTTTCTGGACACTCTTCAAATACAATCCCACATAGAAGACATTACAATAATTCAAACAGTGTAACTAAAGCATATCATGGCCAAGCCAGACATCTCAAGGAACAGATGCAGCTGATGCACCAGTTTGAACTGGGCAAATGTGCTCCTTGCCACTGCTGAGACTTGCTTATCGATGCTCAGGGTTAAATCCAGTTATACCCAAGCTACAAAACTGACTCTTCAGAAAGAGTGTAATTCCATCCAATACAGTCTGAATCTCTATCCCCCAATTGACTAATAGTGCCTCTGTCTTGTCTGAATTAAGTTTCATTCTATTTGCCTTCACCTAGTCCATTTGGTTAGCTTGGGTATAATGGCAAATTATAGTTGGACCAAACTGAGAGAATGTCAGAACATGCACTAGGAAGAGAAAGGGGGATGTAAGAATTATGTATAAGAATGGCCTTTATAGAATGGCAGAGATTTTGGGTAAGAAACTTATAGGTGTCATTGTATATTCTAGAAGGCTCTGGGGTTTACTGAGAAACTAACGTGTACAAAGAATTGAGAAATGCAAAATGGAGTTTCAAACTTTCCTCATTCAAATTCTACTTGTGAGCTTTTAGTCGTTTAATTTGTTCACTTTGTTCTATACTGCAGCTGTCACCTCAAGCTGTCACCTTGCATTTTCCAGGAAATACCAAGCCAATACATAGCTTAGTACCCTTTTCTTTTTGTTTAGCAAAATACAAGTTATTACCATTTCCCCAAGAAATGCTCCATGTACAAATCATGATTAACTGAAGTGTGTGGGGGGAGGTTAGTTAACAAAAAAATTAAAATATTTGGTTTTGTTTTTGTTTTTTTGAAAAATGCTGGGCTGCAACTGTGATTAAACCAAAACCTACCAACTTGATCTGATGGCTGAAACAGTGTTGTTTAGCATAGTGTGACTTACTATGCTAAGCAACCATGTTGCTTAGCATAGTAAATCACACTAGAGAAGGCCTGTTGAATATCGGTTTGGGATTTGGTGAGACAACATTTCTATAAGTTCCATTGTTTCAAATAGTCCTACTCTAGTTGCAAGTTACTATGCTAATATAAGAAAAAACAATTTTCTTCAGTTTTATTTCTCTGAAAAAAATCTCTACTTCTTCAGGATATTTGCTTGGGAATCAATTCAATTTAATTCAAATGGTAAGAATTTCAGATTAGAGGGTCACTGAAGTAGTAATAAAACTATTTCTTAGATGACACAATTTAAAAGACAGAGACACTGAAACATCCTAATTAAAAGCCAGAAAAATGACCAGAATGGGGTACCATTAACCTACTTAACCCTGTTCAGGTGTTCCATCTGAAAGTGTATAGGGCTCAATGGATAGTGGGAAACAAGATGCACACATAAAGCCTGCCATCCACATCCCCACCTCATGTGGAAATCCACCAGGCCTTTGCATGTCCAGTGTGCAAAACTGCATATAAGTTCATTTGGGCTAAATACCCTTACAGCACTTCCATGACTGACAGCCCATTATTGTGAGATCATAAAGCACCTATGCAGACCTATGTGCTGAACTTGTAAAGATATGGAAGCCTTGAGAGAGGGATGAGGACATGATAGGAGGAGCTTACCTGTGTCTCTATGTCACCATCACCTTTTGAGCCATGCTTTCCATCTGAATGCCTGAACAGGATGCTCGCCACTTCTGCAGCTCGCCCTCTGGCAATGACCTCATTGCCCCAGGACAGTGAGGGGGAAGAGAGAGATCATGTGTAAGCTATAAGCAAGTGACCATAACTGGGCATCAAAAAGAATATGCAAATTTGTATTCGCTGGGTCAGGTAAAAAAAGAAGCGTTATGATAGATAAAATATTTCCTGATCACATAATCTACACAACAGAGAAAGCTGTTGTTGCTTTTCGGTAGTTGTTTTATTTTATGCATTCCTGCATATGTTCAGATTACTTTGGAAGGTTCTATGAGGAATTGCCTGATTATTTAGGGAGACCCACTTTACACATATTCTATGTGTGGCCATGATTCTCCACTTTCAAAATTAATAACGTTTTAATGTTTTTATTCCTACTATTCACTCTGTATTCCATTTTGTTACCCCTTTGCCAGTGAACAAGCTGGACTGAAAGGCTGTCCTTCCTCAACAACATCTCTGTTATAGCCCTCACCTGAAGTGGGACAATGGGGGCTGCTGGCAGATCCTCTGCTAACTCACTGGCCCTATTCAGACATTATCCAGCTTTAGCCAAGATACAAGCGGCGGAGTACCCCCTCGCCTGCTTTCTACACATGGAGTTTGTAAGGTTCTTGTCTGCATGGTGACCCTCCATATGAAATAAACCTTTGCTCTGCGAACACCTTGCTTTCCACTGTGAAAAGTAATGATATGGAGGGAATGCCAAAGATTCTCTTGCTTACATCTTGGCCAAAGAAAAATCAGTAAAACCTTAATAGGGCTACTGTCCTTTACTAGTCTGGGAAGCAACCATTTTCCTGATAGCAGCATCTGCTTAGGAAGAGCAATCCAGCATGCAGGCTGATAGGCAAGCAGACAGATGTCCAAGGAGTTCTCCCTGGCTTTTGACATATTGCTTTAATAGTATTTGATTGCAACATTGTTTAATATGATTATATTTCTCTCTCTATTTTTTTTCTATGAGCTGCCCCAAAGACAATGTTCTTGAAAGGCAGTTAACAAATGGAATTAAAATAAGCAAATGCATACATAAATGTATGTTTTCTGGCACTTTTTCATCAGCTATTCACTGTAACAATGTCCCCCAGAGAATGTCAAATTAGGCAGCTTTTCCAAAATGCCCCAGTGTAGAAAAGCTAAAAAATGGTGCTTTTCATTTCAGTACAAAACCTAGGACCAACTGATACTTCTCATCTGTAAAATAACAAAGTTTGAACACAGGGAAAAGAGAATGCAGTGTCATTGGCAATCATCCAAAGGCTGGCTTTGTTAAGCCAGCTGTTTCCTCAATCTCCTGGGAGAACACCTGTACTTCAATTGTTCTAACCATATTCCCCTAGAGCAGTGGTTCCCAACCTTGGGCCTCCAGATGTTTCTGGACTATAACTCCCAGAAGCCTTCACCACCACCTCTGCTGGCCAGGATTTCTGAGAGTTGAAGTCCAAGAACATCTGGAGGCCCAAGGTTGGGGACCACTGCTCTAGAGTGAAGAAATCCAGCAACCACAATTAATTCCCCAGAACAGCCACTCTGGAAAGCAGCACCAAGGAGCAGCACCTCTAGGAAACAGGAGAGACCTTTGAGGAGGAAGTAGCCAATTTACCTTTTCCACACCCTTAGGCTTACTGAAGGGCCCCCATCTCATTCTGAGAATATCATAGGATAGCTTCATGTATTTAATCTTTGAACAAAGTGAGGAGAGATAAATGGAGTTAAATATGTAGGCCAACTTTTCAAAATAAAATCTGTTTATATCAAGATAGGGGTCTTCAAATGCTGAAAAAATTCACTGAGACTTAAAAAGTGGTGATAAGGACAGTTATTCTATAATTTTTCCATGGTTATATGCCATGGAATACAAGAGGATCACATTGAGCCATGGTAGACATGTGGATTGAAATACTTTTGTCTGTGTTCTATATCCTAGTGGAGGCCAGGTGTACTTTGGTTTAATTCAGAGAAATAACTTGTAGGTTTTAAGATTCCGCAGCTGTTACCACTGAAGTATACTCAATATTTGAGCGATAAGGCTGATTTGTTACAAAACAGTGCCAGTGGTGATGTTTGGTGAAATCTTCTCTCTTGGTGATAACTGAGTGAATAAAGTGAATGATATATTGAAATGAGCATACTGTAGATGTATTCTGGTAATGCTTCTGTTTGTTTTTAAGTCCACAGGGGCACAAGTACAAGTTGCAGGGGACATGCTACCAAACTCCACAGAGCGTGCTGTAACTATATCGGGTACACCTGATGCCATTATTCAGTGTGTAAAGCAAATCTGCGTTGTTATGCTAGAGGTACGACACAGTTCCAGAAATCTGCCAAAAATTCTTACGATAATCATATGACTATAGGCTCTCCTTTGGATTCCAATGCACAGTTTCTTTAAAAAGACTCACATCTGTTAGTCCATACAGTGTACAAATCCCTTGAATTGTGATCACAGGTTCATCGTTATGTCTTCTTAATGATTGTTGCCATTGGTAAATATTGCAGTATGATTGACGTCACAGAATAAAAATTGTTCAGAGCACCACAGGTCTAATGGTGGTCCAGTAAATACAACCCAGGGAGGAGAAAGCTACTTTTTTGGATTACAGCATTCACAATATCTCAGTCAGCATGGCCATGGGGCTTGCTGGTCATGGGATTTTAGGAACTGTGTTCCCAAAAACTGTTTTTTCCCATCTCTGATACAATGGCATTTTTTTCATGCCAAATCTGTGAAAATCAAAGCACCCAGTAGCTTATGGTTCTGATCTTAAACTCCCTTGTTCTACTACTTCCCTAAGCTTTGAGTGATTTTTATTGTGGCATCTGAAATGGCTCACCATCAGAGACAACAAAGAATCACAACACAGCAGAAACCAACAATGTTTTTCCTCTTCTCAGCCACTAGCTCAGCCCTACTTCCAACAATGATAGCAGGATATTTATTGCAGACCAGAGAGAACCTTGGGCTTGTTTTTTCTGGAAGGATGTTTCAAGAGATTTACAAGTGGTGGTTTATTGGGGAATCATGGTAGTTTTATGCCTTTCTTAATTATTTGATGGAAATTCAGTTGTTTAAAATTATAGAATCCGGATCACCATAAAACCACCAATTGTGTGATTTTTTGTTTGGTTTTGTTATTAAATATCATGAACAATGGTCTCAGACTGGATAAGGACCTAGTCAGATGGTAAAGCATTAAAGCCCTCTTCTAGGGACAAGATATGGAAGCAAGGGCTGATGTAAGGCAAGCAGGAGAGAATTAAAGAAGGGAGTCTGTGATGAGAATGGATTGTATAAAATAGTTGCAATGCAGGAGACACGAAAAAAATAAAGACAAGAATAAAACAGAGTGAGGCCCACAGGCATCTGTTCTTTGAGGGGCCTCCCCACCCCAAAAAAATTACAGCTGGCCCTGTGAATACAAAAATTCTGGGCCAAACTAGACAATAAGTGTACTTCAAGTAGGGGAACATGTCTGCTTATCATAGCATGTGCTTTTCCTCACCTCTCAACCTTTCATTCCATATTTTGTCATTGTTCATTGGAAGATAAACACAGGCTTAGTTAGCAAGTATGCCAAGGTACATGTATCTGAGTATATGATGTTGTGGGAGGACAGGTGGGGAACTGAGTGTAGATAATACACATTTCCTTAATATCTAGTTTGACTGAGATAAGTAGAAATGAGACAAATAATCATGTTTTGAGAGTTAGACTATAACATTTTTGTGACTGACAATATCACTAACATATTGGATATTGTCAAGGACATTGTATACAACCAAATTTAATGTATGTTCACTGTTTTCTTTCAGTTACTTACTGTTTTATATTTTCATCCTCAGTCTCCACCCAAAGGTGCCACTATTCCTTACCGTCCCAAACCTGCCTCTGCACCTATAATATTTGCAGGTGGCCAGGTAAGAACAGACACCCTTTTGGCTTCAGCTGGAAACCACACCGTCTTGGCTCAACCTCAGACAGCGCCTGTTAGTTTTCAACATTTACTACTTTTCTGTCTGGTATAGTACTGATTGTTTTTCTAGCAATATGGATGTTATATATATATTTTGTGTGTGTGTGTGGTTTATACCAGTTCAACCTGAAGTATCCCCCTACTTGGCAGATCCTTTCCACCACCCTCTCTATGTTCCAACAAACTTCTCTTTCCTCAAAGCAGAGTTCCAGTCTGTAACATGTCACATCATATAATTTGAGGGTGGGGAGAGCTGGCCATATGCCAAACTAATCTGGCTGTATGGGTAAGTTGGTCTTTGAAGTGGACTAGTGGTAATATATTCATGTACCTGAATCACATATTAATTAATCACATATTGACACCTGTTCAGTTGACCAACTTGAAACTTGGCATCGGTGATTTATTTAATGAAGCCTATAACTGTGCCAAATGTCAAACCAATCTGGAAAAATTGGTAGAAATCAACCTTTCTCTTTCAATTCCAGTTTTCAAATAGAAAAAGTAATGTTTTGGACTACAGCTCCCAGAATCCCCAGCTTTTGATTGGTTTGTTTTGGCTGATTTAAGTTCTGAGCAGATTATTTACATTTTCTGTTCAATAGAAATCAATCACAACAACAGCTGTCACAGTCATACTGGGCATGCTCAGTTCTGTTCTGAATCTAGACTTCTGCCAATATTCCAGTGACTTCAGGTGTAATCTACTGGCTAATGCAGTCTTTATGTAGCTGTGTTCCTTTATTTATGAAATGTCACATGATCAGAGTACATATATTAGGACCACTGCATGCAGGAAGGCGGCTGTAGCTCTTTCTATATCCTGAGGTCATTCTGGCCTCTTCTATTTAATTGCCATGCCAAACAATTCTCCTCAGATCTCCTATAGCTGTTCTTCACAGAAACAAATGGATTGTGCACAGAATGGTCCAGAGGGAAGCTACGTTTTCATAAGATAGAATGATGGCTGGTCTATATTATTAGTACCATTGCAGAGCTAAGACTTGTACAGATCCTGACTACTAACAAGCTGTCACTTGAGGGAAATCTTTTTTTAGTCTACAATCCATTCCACCTTAGCTTTGCTTCTGAGGAAAGGGGTGAAGGAGGTGGAATTGCCTTCTGCTGCCTGGTTATGTGGTGGCTATGCACTGGCACAAGCCACACCAATTTGTGGAACATAACTTATATTACATATGCAGAATCTTAGGAAGTAGAGGTCAAGCCCTTGCCCCAGCAGCATAGCTATGCGACTTCTTCATAGGTTCAAGGCTATGACTTGGATAAAGTCTTGGTGCACGGATAGTAAATTGTAACCAAACAAATTAAAGGCATGTTTGTCAAGGCATCCATTTCAGAATTTACCAAGACAGCTGAATTAGAGTAGGCTGCAGTGGGCTAAATAGGTTCACTTAAGATAATATAGAAATCAGTATGCCATTTGGTGTGATTAGAGATGGTGGTATTCCTATACGAATGCTCCCGAACAGGTGGCGATAACGAGGGTCCAGCCCCATGGGGCCAGATGGTCCATTCACAATTCTGCCACTGCCACAACCTCCACGGAGCCATCCAGTGGCTCCAAAGATCACATTCAGTGAGCCACTCTTGGACCTGGGAGCCTTCCAATGGCTCCAAAGATCGCATTCAGTGAGCCACTCTTCGACCTGGGAGAGAGACTTGTTGTCCCACCTCCTGCCAGGTGTGGCAAGCCGATCCCCTAACCCACCTCCTGCCAGGAGTGGCGAGCCGATCCCCTAAATCCTGCTGCTCTTTAAGCGCTCGGTGGTCCTCCTGGTCAAAAATGAAACTGCATGGACCCGCAGCAGCATCTTCCCTCTCCATCGCAACCAGCAAACAGGAAGGGTGATGCAGGGCTGGCCAACCTTCTTAAATGCTTGTTCCTGCCCAGCCTGGTCACCCTCTATATGATGCAGCAAGCACGTGTCTTTCTCTTCTGTCCGGGTAGGCAAAGGAGCCCCACCCATGCAACTTCACACCTCGCAGAGAGGCTCTTGTGGAGCATAACTGTGGTCCTTATCAAGCAGGCTTTCTATCAGTGAATTTTGAGTGTGGGAGGCTGTGGAAAATGTAAGCTACTCAGGTGAAGAAGGAATTGTGAAGGCTGTATCAGAACACAACATTTTTGCAGAGAAATAAGCAGTACAGAGGTCACATCTCTTGTGTGGTTTAGTAACTCTGAAGTTGCTTTTGTTGAAATAAAAAGAAATATTTGGAAATATGGTTATATTTAATAGATTACTGAAGAGCAATTACTTTTTTTAATGGGAAAACTGTTGGATTATGCAGATCATTTGTGTCCTGGTATGCAGTGAGTGATTCTGCCGATCACTCAGTTCTACCCTGCTATTGGAGCACTATTTTGCATTGATCACTTCCTGCCCCTCCTCTCTCTTGTGTGCCTTCTTCCTTGAAGAAGGGCCTTTTCCAAGATGGAGATTACCTGAGCACATGCTATTGAATGGCTCTCTCTCCATCCACACTTGCATCCATGACATCCAGCTTTAGGGGTGGTTTATTCAGTTTAGAAACGTTCTTTAAAGCTAAAGAAACTTACCTGGAATATGTAAGACAAATGCCTTATTTATTTTTCACTCAAATGCTATATTTTTGACCTTAATTATTGAAATACTAAAGTCTATAGTTAATAAACCTTTTTTGAAATTTTATTACAAGTTAACTCCATGTTTTTGACTCTGTACTTAATTTAGCTCATTGAAGATAATTAGTCAGAACACACAATAATCTCTAACAGAAACACAGGGATAATTTCTTTTATTTGGGTTTGCAAAGAACATTTAGGTTCTCCCTTAGAACACCTGTAGTCTATTCAATCAAAATAAAATGTGGTTTATATCATGGTATCATATTCTGTTCTCTAATACTCTAAAACTGCTACTGTATCTACCATCTGGACTGCAACAATGGAACATATAGTGACTATGTACAGGGAGTCAATTCAGCTAGATGTACTACAAAGAAAGAAAGAAATATGAGTAATCAAATATGACCACAAAATTAGAGACTGAAGAAATCAAACTGCAATTCAATGCAGTACTACAACATGTTGTGTGAAAGCATTCAGAAACAGAACAAGGGAGGAATTGTTTATTTTGAGTTGTTGAACAAAGAGAAAATATTGTTATTCAATCAAACATTCAGACATTTGTTCCAGTTAATACCAGAGCTAACCAGCAGGAAAATGTGGCAAGTTTCAGACTGTGCAATTTGAGGTGCTTTTTTAATTATAATTTATTGTTGCCCTTCCATCTCAGACATCAAAAATTCAAGCAGTACCAGCTAAATTTGTCATGACTTGTTGGGAATGTCAGGACTCCCCCCCCCAAGGATCCTTGCAATGTGTGACTACCCCTTTATGGTTTCCAGTCAGCTTTGCTCCCCTCTTTGCATGACTAATCAATTTTGAAACAGATTGTGAGGTGACATAGGAAATCTGTGATTCAAAGAAAAATGTCAAAAAAAATCCCCAAAAGTGTGTCCAAGATCTTGGCCATCCAAACTCTTGAGTGTGACTCAAGAGCATGGTTTAGTGTTTGTATTATTAAAATAATGAGTATGTGAAATGATGGGAAGACGCCACCGATTTTGATACATGACTGTTCAGGATCTGTCATCTGTCTTTATCATTTGTAGGCATTCACCATTCAGGGGCAGTATGCCATCCCACATCCAGACGTGAGTCCAGTGCATGTAATTTACCTCCTGTATTTTGCTCTTTCTCCTATTTGATCTGGGCAGCATTTACTTTCTATGTGTTTTAACCGTCATGGAGACATCCACAAAAGCTAAAGAGAACATCCTTAATGGAGTGACACTTAGCCCACATACTAGTTCTATGAGATCACTTTGTATAATAGATACTAGAAAGTACAGTGGCCCAGATACAAATGTGTTTTTCCATTTTATGCATGCTATATATATTTAAGTTTTTGAAGTGTGATTATTTAGAACAGTTTTTAAAGATAATAATGTTAGCAATTTACATGTAATGACAGTGTCATCCTCATTTTGATTATTTTTTCTATGTAGTAAAATTGAATGAATGATTTATAGCTTTTTAAATTTAATTTTAATTAATCCTGTTTTGAAACATGTTAAGATGGTTTTCTCTACTCTGAAATAATTCCATTTGATTGGTTAGTTCTAATTTCCCATCCTGCCCTGCAGTTGACCAAGCTTCACCAGTTGGCTATGCAGCATCCCCCCTTTACTCCCCTTGGGCAGACCACCCCTGGTTTCCCTGGTACGTACCCATGACTCCCTGGGGATGTCCTTCTTCTTAACAGCTCTGTTTCCCATGGTCATTGCAACATTTGGATCACTAAATGTGGTAAATGGCCAATGTTCCTTTTGTTTTTACACATTAATCTTTGTTGTTATGTTTTCCCCCTCCTGTGGCTCTCTTTGTAAGATTTCTTTTGACACCATTAAACAGTTTTGCATTGTTCTAATTTTCTTCTGCTTTACTTTAACTGTACCACTAGTTTCTTTTGTCTTGGCATCAAACGTTATTATGCACCACACATTATGTGCCATGTGCCTGAAAATTTGAATGGTGAATTTTGTGTATTTGATTTAAAAAACAGGTACATATTAAAAAACCCACAATTAAATAAAGGATAGATCCAATGTATGTTTCACAGTAGAACCATTGGAATGAATTGGACCTGTTAATCACAACTAAAGTAAGGCTCATCAATCCAGCGGGACTACTCTTGGTTGAAATAATATTGAATTTAGCTGATAGTATATTTTAGAGAATCAGAGATTTCACAGACAAAGCACAAGAAACTATCTTCTTTAGTTCATATGCAAATTCTCATTACATTCTTACTTTATTATATAAATTATAATACTTTTTCTAACTGCATGCCCTTGTTAATCACTGGGGTCTTTCTTAATGAAGGGAAATTACAATTAATTTATGAGTATTTTTATAAGCACTTCAGTTTAGCACTAAATATTGGATCCAAACACAAAGTAGGTTTATTAAAATCAATAGGACAAATCATTCATGACCAAGTCTCATTTATTTTAAAACATCTCTTGTAAGTATAACATATATGAGGGCCCTACCCAATAAAATTTGCTTCAGTGGAACTATAGAACTATGATTTTTTTAAACAGAAACCTCAGCACATTGGTACATATTTTGTATGGCAAGTAATAACATTTTTATCACATACATCAAAACATAGGAGTAGCTGAACTGATTACACAATATTTAGCAAATCAATTGAAATAGGTATTGAAGAATATAAAAGAACAGATATACTCTAATGTAGACACAATTATGTACGATCTAATTGAAACAAATGTGTATGATATAGAAAAGACTTTCCTAAAAAACTATAGACCTGCCCCCCAAAATGGTAAGCCTTTGAGGTGCTGCCTACAAAAATTAAGATGGACAAACTAAACTGGTGGAGATATATGGTGTATCTGATAAAAAAAAATCTCTGAAAAGCATTACATTCTCTTTTCCTTAGCCTTTTCATTAACATGCTGCTCCTGAATCTCTTCCTTGTACTGTTGTTGTGCATAACCTGTAATTTTGAGTGTGAACACATTACTTGCATTTCCTATGCAAATTTAATCTTTAACATATTGCAGCCTTAATGGTATTTGGTACTTTCCCTTTTAAAGCAACCTCTTTCTAACAAGCTGCAGATTGACTAATTCCCTGTATGCCATTATAATTTGCCTTTATCTCCAAATTATTAAAATTGTATCAGTTTTCATGGGTTCTGGTTAGTTTTTATTTATAAATTTATTTTCTGGCAGGTCAAATTTTAGCCCCCTGTTCATTTTTTTACAACAAAGTGTGGATTTCAAATTTTACCTCTACATAAAATCAACCTTGCTGTATTCACAGATATTCTGCTGATATATTGGTGGGTTTAAGATAGAAGTAGGCAACCTCTGGCCATTTAGCTGTTGTTGGCCTACAACTCTCAGCATTCCTCGCCAGTGATTGTGTTGACTAGGGCTGCTGGGAGTTGCAGTCTAGTAACATCTGAAAGGCTGCATTATGCCCACTCATGGTTTACAAACTTTTTTATCAGAAAATTTTAATTCAGTGGCCAAAATCCTATTGCTTAGCATAATAGATCACACTAGAAAAGGCCATTTGAGTCAATGGGAATTTGGTGCATCAACTCCTCTGAAAGTTCAGTTGATTTAGATGGGCCTACTCTGATTGTAACTTACTCTGGTATATTAGGTTGCAGTTAGAGAGGCCCATTTGAACCAATGGAACCTATGGAGGAGCTTATTCACTAAAACCCCATGATTCAATAGGCATATTCTAGTGTGATTTACTGCTAAACAATAGGATTTGGGGTATTGAGTACATAGCTCTATTATGTGCGTTTCAACCTTTCTTTTCTGCCAAGCTAGCTGTCCAGTTTTTTATTTTTGGCTCCATGCTTTGAGGGCTGGGGAAATCTTAGAAATGTTGTGAATTATTTTATTTCAGAATGTCTATTATAATGTTTTCCTTCTTTTTCTCTCTCTCCAAATCTAGGATTAGATGCCAGTACTCCAGCTAGTTCCCATGAGCTCACTATTCCAAATGATGTAAGTGCCTATAGGCAGGAAGACTCTTTAATTTCTCTTGTTCTTTACATGTGCATAAAGGGTAAGATTACTAGTCTGTTTCTTTCTATTGTCATGCTAGTATTGTCGGAGCTAATAGGCCATAATATCTCAGGATCTAAAGAGTTCCTAGTCCAATTTAACTTTAGACATGAACTCAGAAATAGCTGGGAGGTAAATACATGTAGAAACAAAGTGCAGTGTGAGTATTCCTAGTTTGATGAGGACCCAGATAGGCAAAAAGGGTTGTTCTGTAGATTAACTTGTTCTCTGGCCTCCCATCTAACTCCAGGTCTGTGCATATGGGTCTCTGTTTGAGAAACACTTATGGCAGTGATAAGTGGTTCAGAAAGGAAAGCTGAGGGTCTAAATTGAGTTTACCTTGGTTCTCATTTGTCACAAGCACTTGATAGGCATGAGCACTCTCTTGTTAACTGAGCTCCAGACAGTATTCTGGCAATTGTGTAACTACACCCTTGGACTGTGACTGCTATAGTCCATATATGGAAAGTGATGACAAAGTGAGTTCATCTTAAAGTACAGTGAGTGTATTCATACAGGTAATCACTGAATATTCCTTATGTTGTTGGCCACAGTCCTCTTGGCATATGTAGTAATAACTCAGAATCGATTATAAAGTGGTGTTCTTTGTCACCAATCCTTTGTCTAAGTATAGAATTGATAGCAAGTTTAAGAGGTGAGTTTTATGAGCATTTGCTATACAAATACATGATATGCAAATATGTACAGTCTATTCTAATCAGATTTCGGGCCTCATTTTATCACTAAAAACATCCACGATTGATCTGTAGGAATAATCTTCTCTATGAGAAAAACGGGGGAACGGAATCCTTTTATTTCTTCAGGCTTCTCAGCAGCTTTTGATACCATCAGTACAAATATACATCTGAATACAGTGGTGCCTCGCGTTACGACGTTAATTCATTCCAGCGAAATCACTGTAGAACGAAAACGTCGTAATGTGAAAATAAAAAGCCCATTCAAACGCATTAAAACCCGTTTAATGCATTCCAATGGGCTGAAAACTCACCGTCCAGCGAAGATCCTCCATAGGGCGGCCATTTTCTGTGCCTCTGCAGCGATGAATCCATCCCAGAAAACAGTAGGGAGCCATTTTATTTACCCGGTGGCCATTTTGAAAATGCCGATCAGCTGGAGGAAAATCGTCGTTTCGCGAAGAATCGGTTCCCGAAGCAGGGAACCGATCATCGCAAAGCGAAAAAAACCCATTCAGACCATAGTTTTGCGGTCGCAATTGCGATCACAAAAAGATTGTCGTAATGCAGTTTTGTCATAATGCGGGGCAATCCTAAAGCGAGGCACCACTGTAATCTCCTCAAGTTAGAGGTTGGGCTATAGTTTTGTAGTGTTTTCGTACTCAGACATCCAGTTTCTAGAAGGCGATATTGGGGACTCCTGCTTGATTGCTTTGAGATCTTGTAGAGTTCTGATCTGTTCTGCCATTTTTCATGTTCATATAAGAACATGAAACTGCTGAGTGGAATCATTCAGCAGTTAGCTATAAAGTGTCATACACAGGTAAAGGTAAAGGTTCTCCTAGACAATTTTTGTCCAGTCGTGTTCGACTCTAGGGTGCGGTGCTCATCCCCATTTCCAAGCCATAGAACCAGCGTTTTGTCCAAAGACAATCTTCCGTGGTCACATGGCCAGTGCGACTTAGACACGGAACGCTGTTACCTTCCCACCAAGGTGGTCCTTATTTATCTACTTGCATTTGCATGCTTTTGAACCGCTAGGTTGGCGGGAGCTGGGACAAGCGACGGGCGCTCACTCCGTCACGTGGATTCGAACTTACAGCTGAAGATCTACAGATCTTACAGCACAGAGGCTTCTGCAGTTTAACCCGCAGTGCCACAGACACTAAAGCAAAACATTCTGTTTATAGGCTACCCCCAAACACTTTACAATTTAATTACAGTGGTACCTTGCAAGACGATTACCCCGCATGATGACGAGGTTTTGCGATCACCATTGCACTTTGCAAAACAGTGTTTCCTATGGGCGATTTTCACTGGACAATGTTTCGGTCCGTGCTTCGCAAGACGGGTTTTTTCCCCCGGGACCGATGCTTCACAAGACGACAATTTTTACAGCTGATCGGCAGCTCCACAAAATGGCTTCCCTACGGGCAGTCTTCGCAAAATGGGTGTTTTAGGGACCGATGCTTCGCAAGACAGCAATTTTTACAGCTGATTGGCGCTTCGCAAAAAGGCTTCCCTATGGGCGATTTTCGCAAAATGGCGACTGTTCTCCCCATTGGAACGCATTAAATGGATTGCAATGCATTCCAATGGGGAAACGCTTTTTGTAAGACGATGTTTTTGCTAAACAGCAATTTCAGTGGAACAGATTAACATCGCCTTGCAGGGCACCACTGTATATAGGCTACACATTGTATAACCCCACCAGTGAGCTGGATATTCAATTTACTGGCCTTGGAAGGCTGGAAGGCTGAGTCAACCTCAAACCAGCTACCGTCAGGATCGAACTCATGTCATGAGTAGAGTCTTCACTGTGACATTTGCCCCTTGTGGCCCCTGTTTGTCTCACTAAACACAGAGCTCACAAGGTTCCCAAACACTTCTTGACACACTACGACCAGTTGATCCCTTTAATCAACCTAGTTTACTCTGAAAAGATGACAGTCCATTCAGTACTGTCTTTTTAATAAAACAGGTTTATTGATTACAGATGGTTTCTAGAATCATTCATAAGCATATTCTTTCAGTTTCACAAAGCATCAATATTAATCTTCTATATTAAATATCACAGGTTACTAATCACTCCTCAGACTAATCACTCCTCAGATCCCCAAACTATCTCTCTCTCTCTCTCTCTCTGATTCCAAACTCTGACTCAGAATCAACTTAACTTAAACTCATATTCTCAGGCTCTGCCTTTTAACATCTCTCTTGGCTCCACCTCTCAACCACATTAGCATAAAACATGAATAATACATTACTTTTATTACTTAACAAGGGTAAACGCTACATTCCTCCCCCTTTAAATATGTTTGTTTGGGAGGGGAAACACGTTTTCCATCCTAAACAAACAGGCATCAGTGCATAAAAACTCTACTTACTCTCTGGCAACATTCTGCAAGCAATACAACATCTTATACAGTGGTGCCTCGCTTTACGATTGCCCCGCATTACGACAAATCCGCTTAACAACGATCTTTTTTCGATCACAATTGCGATCGCAAAATGATGGTCTGGATGGAGGAATTTCGCTTTGCGATGATTGGTTCTCTGCTTCGGGAACTGATTCTTCGCAAAATGACATTTTTTAAACATCTGATCTGCGGTTTCAAAATGGCCACCAGGGGATTAAAATGGCTCCACACTGTGTTTAGGGACGGATTCCTCGCTATACAGGCAGCAAAAATGGCCACCATATGGGGGATCTTCGCTGGACTGTGAGTTTTTACCCCATTGGGGTGAAATGCGTTTCAATGGGGTTTTTATTTTCTCTGTACCATGTTTTCACTTAACGGCGACTTTCCTGGAACGGATTATTGTCGTTAAGCGAGGCACCACTGTATATCAACCACAATATCTTTTCACTCTAAACTTTCCAATACAGTTCCATTACATAGTTTACCTTTTAATTTATACATTTAATATTACAATCCTACAGAAATATAACATATTTATGAAAAATTTACATAGATAATTAAATGGTTACTCCATAGTCCATTCAGGTTTCTTTTTAAAGTCCTTGAATCATTTTCCCTGTCTCAGTTCATCAATATTCAATTTTTCATCACTATACACAAAGAGAAAATTGATTATAACATTACCAACTTTGTTTATCCCCCCCATCAGTCATTTGGCTTTCGAGGCAAGGTATCAGCATCCACGCTCTGAATCCCTCTGCCACTGTGGATTGCAAAGTCCAAGTCTTGCATGTTCCCGCTGTCAGCTGCTTGGCACAGCACCTCTCTAAGTCCAATGCTCGATGTATCCATGAAGATGGTGAATTCCCGGCTGTAGTCAGGTGCGCTGTGGATTGGTCTGGTCATTACCGCCTCCTTCAGCTGGTCACACAACTGCTGGCACTCAGGGGTCGCCCTCTGATGATCTCTGGCTCCTTCTTCCATGTTCTTTTCGGTCAACTAGCAGTCATCGGGACCTCTGATGTCCACTGGAAGTCGTCTGCTTGCCATTTCTTTATGAAGCCTGCTTTCTTTCTGGCTCGGTGTCATGTTCCTGGGAGTTTCAAGAGCAAAGTCCGATAAACCAGTCCTATGTCAGAAGTTCAGAAAATGCAGAGGCAATATCCAAATACCAAAGCCAACTCACACAACGTAGTCCAAAAAGAAGACAGTCTATTCAGTACTGTCTTTTTAATAAAACAGGTTCATTGATTACAGATGGTTTCTAGAATCATTCATAAGCATTTTATTTCAGTTTCACCAAGCATTTTCTGTATCAAATATCACAGGTATATCACTCCTCAGACAAATCACTCTTCAGATCCCCAAACTATCTCTCTCTCTCTCTGATTCCAAACTTTGACTCAGAATCAACTTAACTTAGACTTAACTCATCTTCTCAGGCTCTGCCTTTTAACCTCTCTCGGCTCCGCCTCTCAACCATATTAGCATAGAACATGAATAATACATGAATTATATTACCTAATAAGGGTGAACGCTACATTATGAAATGCTCTGGTGTGGAGAGGCAGAGTTGTTTGTGTCCCTGCTTTCATTCCTCACATGTATAGGCTACACACTTTAAAAATACCCAATCAGAACTAATCAAATCCTAGATATAAGAATAGGCAAGATAAGACCAGAGATGGAAATACTCCTAGCGGACATAAGTTATATCTGCCTAGATGAGTAGTGTTCAACCTATTGCGCTGCCTCCTATAGCATCAGGTGTCAGTGTGTGGCTGGTGCTCCTTGATCCATCTTTGTCAGTGAAGGCAGAGGTAACTTCTGTGGCACAGGGTGCCTTTTATAATCTTAGCATGGTGCACTACCTTTGAGTCTACCTGGACAGTTATCCTTGTGCTGATAATCTCTGGTTTGGACCATAATATTGCATCGTAAAAGGGGCAGACTTTGAAGACGGTGAAGAAGTGAAAATACAGTTGCAAGACAGGTAACTTGGATTGGGCAATATGAACTCTGGTATTTTGCCAGCTTCCCAGGCTCCCAAGCCTAGTTCTTTTTCCTGTTTAAATCCCTTTGCAAATGTGGTTGTGGATCATGTTGCCTGAAGGATTTCTTATCTCCAGATGTACCTATCCAATGGAGCAAGCCCCATCGGAAGGCGCTGGGGCTGCAAAAAAAAATCACCAAAAAACAAAACAACACAGCACAGAAACATAACCCCCCCCAGCACAAACCCACCCTGCAAAACCCAACCAGAACAGGCAGTTATTAAAAAGCAGAAAGCAGCACCTTACCTTACCAGGCAGTCCCAAGCCTCCCTGCAAACAAACACACTCTCACTCAGAAGCAGAAGTCAAGCAGTCCCAAGCCTCTTCCGATCCCACACTCTCTAACTGCAGGGGTTAAAGAGCTACAAAGAAGCAGCCTCTTCACCACCAACAGTTAGCAATCTGAATTTCCCGCCTTTTTCCCCTGCCTTTTTGTGTTCATAACTGGAAGCTCTGGCCGCAAGTTGAAGCAAAATTTTGCAGCTGGAGCTGGTCGTAACTTGAAATGGTCGTAAGTCGGGACATTCGTAAATCGAGGCATCACTGTATTGTGAAAATATATGTGAGATGTAATTTGCTGAGAGATAAGCTGGAATGACCCAATATGTGAATGTATGCATGTAAATAGTACTTGTATCTTGGGACAATTTGCCTCACTGGCTGAAATCAAGTAGTAAGTTGCAACTAGACTAGGCCCATTGAATCAGTGAGGATTTGGTAAGACAAATCCTCTGTAAGTTCCATTGGTTCAGTAACCCTACTCTAGTTGCAACATATTACTGAATTTCATGCATTGACTTGTTTTTTTTCATTGACACGTACACCACACAGCACTGCTGAAATTAATAAAAATGGGTAATTTTAATTTATTTTTAAACATTATTTAGAATTCTGTCTAGTTGCATTTACTGTGGGGAGGGGCATTTCCTTACTTGGTCCTTGTGTAACTTTCAGCACTATATATCATTAGTTTCACTTATTTATAAATAAATAATAACTTCATAAATATTGAATAATTTTAAAAACTGCATATAATTAGCTTGTGGTGCCACAGGAGTCTTTATTGTTCCTGTATCTTGCATGTCCCATTATTTGTATTTTTATTTTTGTAAGCTGCCTTGAGTCTCAGTTCTGGGATAAAAGGAAGGAAGGAAGGAAGGAGAAGTGGAATCTTAAATATAAGAGGATGAACATTAATTCCTACAAACCTTAAGCTATTCTGTTCGTATTTTAGATATCAAAGAGCCTTGACAATGACCTTTGAACCCAGGTGCTTTGATGCATGAGGCAGATCATCCCAATACGTAGCTACACAACAGAAATGACTATTTGCCACCCTTTAGTGGTGGTACCTCAAATCTTCCATCCAAGGCAGCCTAATGGTAGGCTGGCCATGCTTACATTAGATCACATTTGTAATTATCCCTATATTGCAGATATGATGGTCTTTGTTTGACCCTGTCCTTTGCCTTTGTCTTGCTCTAGTTAATAGGCTGCATCATTGGCAGACAAGGCAGTAAGATAAATGAAATCAGGCAGATGTCTGGAGCACAGATCAAGATTGCAAATGCCACAGAAGGCTCAGCAGAACGACAAGTAACGATCACAGGATCACCTGCAAACATCAGCCTGGCACAATACCTAATTAATGCAAGGTAAGCTCTTTTTGTAAGTAGTCTGTTCTGGAAATCCAGTGTGGCCCAGATGAATCTGCCCTGATGAAATCCTGTACCGTTACAACTCTATGACCATTTCTTCTGATTGGAAAGATTAAATTAGCCTGAGTTTTCCTTTCAGCAACATAGTAGCAGTACAGCAGTAGCTGTGCCAGTTTGTGTAAAGTGTGAGAGACTGAAGCATTAATGTTCTATACTGCTTATAAAGCATTATCTTTTGCAAAAGGATTTGCTTGCTTTCAGTTCTTCTGACCAAAACAGATGCAGTTATGAAGTAGACTGCAAAACTTATGTGATTCACTAGGTGCAAAGGGCATCTTTGGCATGGTAGTACCAATACTGGACTATTCAGAGAGAGAGAGAGAGGCTCTTTCTTTTCCTTCCAAAGAATCATAGGAAGAGCCTGGGCAGGAGTATTTACAGCTCAGTGGCATCGATGGCTTAGTGAAGTGGGTGGTGATATATCAGTGCCCTTTTCTCTTCCAATTTTTTTTAGTTAGATTTTCATCTAACAGCTTCTGAGCACTGAAAGAAAGCAGAACAAATGTGCTACTAAATCACATCCATGTATAGAGGTTAACACATGTACAGTCTTTTTTTTTAAAAAAAAACTCTCACACTTCAAGCTAGCAGCTGAAAAATATTTTGCTGTTAAAAACAAGAAAACATATGAAATGAGTGCATAATTCAGAAAATTCAGCATAGGAACCAAATGGTTTTTTTAAAGAGCATTGCTAGAATTTATTTGGCAATGGGGCAAATCATCTTCTGTCTTGTTTGTTTGGGGTGATGGAAGGAGAAGAATTGAAACAGAACAAAATTAGTTGGCACCTGCAATGCAGGGCTCCTACTATTTTGGGGAGTATCCATTGATGGGTATACAATCAAAGATGCCCTCAGATTCCTTGCAATGTAAACTCTTGTTTTGTGCAAGATTATTGAGCAAAGCTTAGAAATGTTACCTTTTGGGGCTACAATTCCCAGAATCCCTCTTTGGAAATACGTTGTGCAGCCTATTTGAGCAACCTGTTTCAGACTGGCATGTTTATAAAAATAGTGTGCCATTCCAAAACAAGGAATGTCTACAAGGACTTACTTTATTAGCAAAGAAAATCTCTTCTGTTTGGTTCGTATGTGCGGTAACTCAGTGGAGAGTCAAAGCACAACCAGAGGCTGGATAAATTTTCTAAAGACAGATTCCAAATTGGAAACATGATGGAGCTGTTCCAGTTTGCCTCCTGTGTAATGAATATGCATTCATCTCATAAGTCTTGTGAACCATAAAGTGTTCGCTCCTTTAACCCTTAAGGATATGTTCTTCTCTGGGTGTTCAGGGACTCCCCACTCATCAAGAGGAGAACAGATCCTTTCATTTTTACTTGCACAGCCATCACACACCATGCATTTGGATCTCAGAAGATAGCAGTCTTCCGGGGAGCTAGTACATTCAAAAACAAAAAAGGACTGTACTTAATAATGGATTTGCAGTTTGCTGCTCAGAGATAAAAAAAATTATTTCAGCATACAAACATGTAAACTCACAATCTGTGAATGTGATTTAAAAGATTGTTTAGCACCTTTTTGCAAAGAAGTCATCTGCTCAGTAAACCGATAATATAGAAGTTGTAGGAATAGAAGTATTTTTTCTTGCTGATTTCTAGGTGAAAGGCATTGGTGACCATCAATACCTTGGTTTAAAAGCATCTTATCTACAGATTACTATATGGCAAATGTATTTTTATAATACGTCCCCTCTTGTAAATAAAGAGTCATAACTACTTGTGTAGATAAACTACGTTTTGACATTACACAGGTCCGTGGACAGAGTCTTTCAGTTTTATCAGCTGAGCTCAGCAATGAAGTGTATACTCTTTCTGCTCATGGAAATATTTGCTGGAGAAGCAGTCTGGGCTGGCCAAGTAAATCACAGAGTTTACAAGCCCTGTTTTGATAATCTCAGTAGACAGATCAAAAGGATTGCATGAAACTATTTATCATATTGATAGTGGTTTCTAGTGGCTTCAAGCCTGCAGAGCAAATAGCTTTAAAGGTGTTGTGCTACAAACCAGCAAAACTAGCAAGACCCATGATCCCAGAGTGGCCACTAATTTTTCAACATGAGGCTATTCTGAGATCCACAAGGGGCCATGATGGGCCTTCGTATCAGTTTGGCTTAGTGATTTAGTCAGGTGCAATCTCAATTTCAACCTCTCTCTAATGTGATCAGCCCAGAGACTTCCAGAGACGAAAGGCTTTTTCATGTAAAGAGCTCCATGCTTGTGGCAGGAGATGATTGACTGAAATTCAAGGAGTAGACTCAAAAGAAGGCTTAGAGAAAAGTTCACTCTGCCGATCATAGACTAAAGCCTGCATGACAGCTGAAGTGTCTGGAACTCAATTAGTAAATTCCTGAAAGCCAGGTTGATAGCTCATTTCAACAGTATATTCAACAGGCTTTTAGAAGACATGCTTCCTCAAGCAGTGAAAGATGTCTGTTTGCCATTGCATTTGATTTCCTTCATCTAAGTTTCTTGCATTTAATACACTTTGTCTCATGATCTGGTTGGTCATTAAAAGGTAAACACAGGCTGAGGCACACAGCTCTGAGAAAAATGTTATTTCAGGAGAGAAAAGGGGTTAATTGAGTTACTGTATTTTTCGCACCATAAGATGCACTTTTTTCCCAGATTATACAGGAAGTTTTCTTCTCCTAAAAAATTGGTGTGTCTTATGGAAAGGTGCGTCTTATGGAGCGAAAAATACGTTAATCACAGAGAACACACACTTCCTTTGAACACACCACTTTGACACTGGTGTGTGCTGTGTTCTACATTCTTGATATTCTTTAAATAGAATTTGAAAACAATTTGTGATATCCACACACAACACATAAATGATATGTGCAGCTCACCCAATTGTGATGTTTTTCTGGTCCTTTGCTAGAACAACCACAGTGTTTTCCTCTGTCCTCTACGTCCTTCTACTTTTCCTTTCTCTTCTATACTACTGACGGTTATCTGGGCAGTGGCAACTCCAGCTGAAGTCATGCTTCCTACTCCATAAGTTTAAAAGTAAAGTAAAGCAAACTGTGCAGTGTATATACTGCCCCATAGCACTTAAAGTACTGGGCAGTTCACAATTTAATAATGCAGGCTACATGTTGCCCCTTCCCCCAAGCAAGCTGGGTTTGCTTTTACCAACCTTGAAAGGATGGAAGTCTGAGTCAACCTTGAGCTGGCTACCTGTATCCATCAGGATCAAACTCAGGCCATGAGCAGTCTTGACTGTAGTACTACTGTTGAATCATTGTGTCATGAGGTTCCTTAGTACTCCTTACCTTATTATCTGATGCCACCCCACTGAGCACTTTGTCCAAAAGCCCGCACTATTGAGCAGAGTAGGGAAAATATATGAGCGTTACAGAGAAGGCAGAAACTCAACATAGGGAATGAGATGGGGATTGGCACTCTTGAGTGCCCTAACCATATAGTATAAGACTGCCCTGATATCATGTGCAGTTTAAAATATTTCTAAAACTGCAAACTGCCTTCTTTGTTTTGATAGATTTATAATGCCCGTGAAGTTTTTGATTTGTATCATGATGTAACTTGTGACACAGTTTGCTGAATATTTATTCAGAAGTCAATACAGCTGAATTCAGTGGGATTTACTACCAGGGAAATGTGCATAGAATTGCAACTATAAAAGAAAAAAATGTGGTTGATTTTTTTGATCAAAAGAATTAACCACTCCTTTGCAAACTTGGAGATTGCATTTGACATGTCATATTCAACCAATGCGTGTTTTCACTAAAAAGAGACCAAAATATCATGGATATTTTTCATACTTTCTTTGGCCCTTTCCATAGTATTATGTAAGCACTATACACATTCCCTACCCTTCCCCCTTTCCTTGTCAGGGAAGGGTGTTTAAAGCTTTTGGCTGTTGGACATGAATAGAAGTTTTCTATTTCAACAAGATAATGAGAAACAAAAGTCAATGAGATAATGAGAAACAAAAGTTTTTCGTTAAGAAACTGAGATATCAACAACTATCCTAGAACTATCCTACAACTATCCTAGAATAAAAGGAGGGGGGGAAGGAACACAAACCCAAGCCTCATATCCACAAAGATAGAGCATTCTTATTAATTTTTGGCTCAGTTTCATTAATCTTTATTGTAGACCTCATAAGACACCTTCACACAAGATTTAAGCCAGGCACTGAGCGTCATACTGAGTTGCTACTGAAATCTGGCTACATTCTAAATGCAGAGAGAACACTAGCTTTCTCTACAGAAGAGACAACTTTTCTACTGACACAGTGTTATAATGCTGTGCTCTAGATTAGAAGGGTCAGGACATGATCTGCATGGTGATGGAGTAAGGTCACAATTACTGCCATTATCCTTGTCCCCCAGGGACTTTCTTAACTTTCAAGGTCTGCTTTGGATTGTACCAACCTAATCCAAATTCTAATTTGGTTTGCAGAATATTTAATACAGGTGAGTGGTGATACATGAGAAGGAGTCTCCTGCCATAATCAGTGTCTAAGGGGCCACCCGCTCTTTTTCTGTGTTTGCTGCTACAAACTAACATGGACATTCTTCTGGAATTCTTCAAATGCCAGGCTGAGCTTCCAGTTCACAGTGACAGCAAACTAACTGTATTATATGGGACTGGAATACTTATTCAGAAGTGGCAAATGTTAGCTACACAGATATATTTCAGAACAAATCCAAAATATAAGTGTAAAGCCAGAATTATGTATGTTAAAGCTATGCAAATATTTTGTAAAAAATTCCCACATGCTCATTATCCATACAAACATGCTCAGCCAATTTATGGACATTGGTAGGGGAAATGCCCCTTTGCTGGATCTTTCTTCAAATAATAATTTATACTAAAACTATAAATCTCATATAGACAGTAGTGCAAATCCCAGCAAAATCAAAAGTGTTTGTTTTAAAAGAGAAGCCTGAGGATTAGAGCTCCCTTCCTCAATAAGGCAAACTGAAGTCTGGGATGCCCCTAGCTTTCATTTTACAGGTGGAGTTGCTTTTATGAAACTCAGGATCATTGTGTGTGTGTGTAATTTGGAGGTTTCTACTCTGTGACTAGATGTGTCAGTAAACAGTGCTAGCACCCACCTCTTCATAAGAACAGATTTTCTGTCTGGGGCTGATGCTCACAACCTCATTTTTTGATGTGATCACATAGTGTCAGTTGCCGTCAGCATCGCAATATCTTCACAACTGCTGCAGA